GAAGAGTAAATAAATCTTCTTCAGCCCCCGGAATAACGAAGCGCGTTCGCCTAAGCTACGGACGCCGACACAAGAAAAGTACAAAGCACAAATCCTGGGCAGAACTGTAAAGACCGTCTGTTTCCCATGTAACATGACCATGCCCTAGACCTGCCTTGTTTACTCCCGAGTAAAGGTAGCATCAATATGTTTGGCCCTGCTCCCCCTGCCAACACAAATTGTGTGCTGTACTCTGCGCAGACGGTTAACCGTCCTATCCCGACATATGAAGCCCTTTGGGATAAAACCTGGTGCATCTTGAAGAACAAAGTATTGAAGGGGGTGTGTGGAAAGGGGAGATGGAGGGGGGTTGGGAGAAGAAATGTTCAAAAGATGCTTAGAACAAAAAATTCAGACCTTCACAGGATAAAGAATACATATGCATTCTATGCAATCTGTATTTACCAGTTTGGTTGAGAGTTCTTAAAAACTTTAGAGCAAATCCTGATGTTCGGGAGTAAATTACGGGCCGCTCTTCGATTGGTGAAAAAAAAAATAATGCGTCGTATTTGCATTATTTCGAGTTTTGTTAACTCACTCTAAGCCATTTTTGTTTTAGAAAACAGTCTTTAACCTGCATTATATGCATCTCTCTCTCTCTCTCTCTCTCTCTCTCTCTCTCTCTCTCTCTCTCTCTCTGTCTGTCTGTCTGTCTCTCTGTGTGTGTCTCTCTCTCTCTCTCTCTCTCTCTCTCTCTCTCTCTCTCTCTCTCTCTCTCTTTCTCCTCTATCATTCCTTTCTGTGTATGTTTTACATCTCTATCTCTTCCTTGTTCCCCGTGGGTTCCAAAATAAGGACTCTCTGGCTGCACCACCATGTAAGGACTCTCTAGTTATTACATCCGGCACGATCTTGGCATCGAGAAGAATTGGCTTATAAACAGCATCCTGCTCCAGAGCTGAAGTATTTTGGATAAACATCACAGTGACCTTGAGAGAGAGGTGAAAACAGTTTCGAGAAAAAGAGAAAGAGGCAGACCTCCTAAACGTGGTTACTGAAGATGCCTTGGCCATGAAAGCACATGGGACTGAATAATAACATAGAAAAACAAAGACTTTCAGACGTGCCGTTGCGAGAGCGACGTTCTGTAAAGGACCTGCTGTTTGATAATGAGTTACATTACAATTTTACAAATTTTGACACGATCGCCAGCTCCACAAATGGATTCCATAAACAGAAGGCCGAGGACAGACATGATGAAACACACAAAGTCCCATTTTCACTGCAGACAGGTAGCCTACAACTGCTCCGTTTATTGGCCAGTGGAAACCATAGAAAATTTTAATGACAGATGCCACACGGCATGGAGAAATAGAATGTTGAATGTAGAATTAGGAGTCGACATTACAGCACTCGGGACACTCCTATAAGCGCTCTGCCCCCATCTTAAGCAGCAAGCGAAAAGTTCCGATTCCGATGGCACCAGTAACTGTTTGATTATATATCTGTCTCGACTTTCCCTTGAGTATTGAGTGTCGGACAGATTCCCTAGTAACTCTTTACAGCGCCATGCTCCTCAAACCGTAATGATCGATCTGTTTCTCGGCACTGTTGACTCCATCCTAAAGGGCCCTAACAACATCTAGCTTGTCTTACATCAGTTCACCACCAAGTGGTGCAGAAGCAGCCGGTCTATCTGGTTGCTCGTTTCCCAGCACACTGGCATGACGTGGAGAAAATTTCCAAAGGATGCTAACTACACGGGATCTCTGAAGTAATGCTTGCCACTCTGCACTCAGAATGCCTGTCTCCACTTTTCTCAACATGCTATGGGTCAGTTACAATCACGCTATGTGTGTACAGCTGATTCTCAAGCCAGCGGAAGGCAGCTGTGACCGCCTCCACCTCCATTCTCAAACAAAGAGAAGAAGAAAACCATAACACCAAAGCCATGATTGGGCCCAGCCCATACAAGGGCGATCATCGCACACGTAGGCCACTCCACCTCATTACTTACCTTGCTCAATCTTTGAAATTACTATCAAGACACAAGGCCAATGGACATACTATCTTATCTTCGTGTTCAACATGTAATGTTATCACAATGTCATCATTAAACATTGTGCAAGCATAGGTGAATAGTTTGCCGGGGAAGCAGTCATATCAAGGTATCTCTTCTAACTGGTTTAAATTAAAACGTTGGTTAAAATGTCTCCTATGTTAATTTCATTGACAGTGTTTCAGAATTAATCAATGATATTTACTTAGCGTCTTGGCGATAACGTAGGATAAACCAATATGTAATGCTAGTTGCTTGTGCGGGCTATAAGGAATATTTTGTTACATGTTAGCTAAGGGATTATTTAGTAGTGATAAATGAGCTACCTGACTCTGTCGGTATATCATAACTGCAGAGAGTAACATAGCGTGCAGTGTTTGTGTATATGCTTGTTTCTAGAGTTCAGTGTAAATATCCTGTGTACTTTACGGTACGTAGTATTACGTCTTAGTCACTGCAATAGGGTCACCCCATACTTGAAGTCGTCCAAGAAGTCGACGTTGACTTTAAAAACTTAAAACATGTCTGCAAAGTATACGGAACAAACTTAAACCGTCAGACCTAAACTGAGGTTGAAGACGTTTGGACAACGGATCAACATCATGGCATACAAGTAGCAACCCATAAGTGCTCTGTTCTTTCCTCTAACTCAAGTCTGAGTCTGAAGAAGCTCAGCACAGTGCACAGGCTCTGTAGCAACGGCGAGGATCCTGGAATACTATGGGTAGATTTTAAACTCTAAATTTTGCCCGGGTAACGCCGTTAGGCTACTCTTTTTCATTTCCAACAATGCACACGGGCGTCCGATCTCACTACCCAGAGACCAGGGGGAATTACTAGAAGTCCTAGTAAAAGTACAAAAATTCACCCCCCCTACCGGGGATCGAACCCGGAAGCTCTAGCACCCGAGGCGGACACATTGCCTCGAGATCACGCAGCCCCCTCAGTCCTAGACTAAACTGACTATCCCTCTAATCTATCTGTATAACAGTAGATACTTGGAGCTTATTAAAGTGGGCGGGATTACCAATACACAATAAGAGTCACAGGTATACAGAATGTACCACAACAATAATACAAGGAAGTCGCTTAAATGGAGAAACGTTCGAACTAGAAGTAGGTCATAGTGTTGGTTTTTGATTTAGTCCTCTTTGTTTATTACAAGGTGGCAGTTTTGCTATTTTTGGCTGAATCTTGTACATTAAAACAAGTAGGTCGTACCGTTGGTTTTTATTAATATTTCTGTATTTTAAACTGTAGGCAAAAGTATCCATACATGAAAGAATCTTTTAATAATTATATAAATAAACAGTAGGTCTTTGTGTTGGTATTTAAGTTCTCTGCATTTTTAACAGTAGATGATAATGTTGGCTTTTCATCGAGTCTTCTACATTTGTCTTCTTTTGCTGTCTTTTACCGTTGTAGCCCAGTGTCGCGGTTTTCTGAATTTTTTTTTTTTTTTTTTGCGCTTTTCAGATGGCTTGGGTAATGGATTTGTTCATCTTTTTTGCAGATTTTAGCGACACTATTTATTCAGTTCTGTCTTGGGCTTTCTCTCTCCTTCCTCCCAGATGCTCTGCGTTGAAAAAAAAATCATTCCCATTTGCTAAATTCTCATCCGGCTAAATTCTCACTATGACCAAACCATTTCATTCTTTGCTTGTCAATATAAGTCAGAAACAGTCTTATTCCGACTTTCTCTCTAATGCTAGCATTGGTAACGCTGTTCCTTCTTGTGCTGTTAGTTCTGATAGAAAATCGAATGCAGCTGGGATCGAACCCGGCATCCCAGCATTAAGGAGCGCGTTAGCAACGCCTAAGCCCTAGACGCCGACTGGTAGAACCTTGTAGGTACCATGTAATGCCCTTTGAAGTTGAGGCAGCCAGTATGACACTGAAACATTCCATGGCTAGTGCCGATGAGTCTTTTAACAAGACACGTCAAGCATCATATATCCATTTCACCACAGTCGCCATCAAGACTTTACATTTCTACACTGTTTACTTACTTAATTCAGCGAGATGACCTTAACCCGGGAAACCACAAGCAACCGTCGTAACTGGGGTACGTAATACTGCCACTGTTAGACTCGTCAATCAATTTTATGCTTCTAATTGTGTCCCGGTAAGCGAAGCGTCCTTACCCACAATTAACTAAAGCGATGTATGTGGGGTCACGGCTAAATAACAAAACGTAAATATGTTTCCCGAGGTACCTCGGTCTTTTTGTGTGTGTGGCGTGAACCGCCGTAGATTCGCATTCACAAATAAATGCGTAAATACGCGCAACAACCTGATAGTAAATAATGACAGTGTTGATATCTTAGTGGGTTTTTTTTTCCCCATTGATTTTTGGGTAAAACTAACAGTGCGACGATATCAGCTGCTTTAATTCTGATTTTAATGGTGCCAGTAGTATTTTTTTTTTTTTTTGGTAGCCGTATTAGTTGTAATGAAATTAGTTGTAGTATTTTGTAGTAGCTGTTCTAGTATTACCAGAAGCAGCAGTGGCAGTAGAAGTAGTAATAGTAAAAGTATCAGCAGTGTTTGTAGCAGTAGTCGCAGCAGTAATAATAATATGAGTAGTTGTGATATTGATTGCAGTAGCAGCAGCAGCAACAGTAGTTGCAGCATATAAACAGTAAAAGTAGTAATAGTAGTAGTAGTAGTAGTAATTATGGTACCGATGCAATTTCCGCAATCGATTTGTAAAACTCCTATCCCTTTACTAAAATATCAGAGGAAAATAATTGTACACACACTAAATCGTTGTTTCATTTCTCAGAATATCAAACGAAAACGTTTAAACGTATCTCATAACAGTTTAAGACACTGGACAGTCTTGTGCATACCACGCATTCAAGGAAGATAGCTGAAGAAAATACAACAGAAAAGATATCTGTGTGGTGCCAGTTTTTTAATTTTTTTAATTATTGGACAAGTACATTTCTAACGCCCCAAGATGTCCCAGGATTCCAATGAAACCAAGGGAGACACTTTAGTCTTCTACGTGAACGGTGTAAAGGTAAGTTATAGATAAAATATTGTCTTTTCTTTCTTCACGTCGTAAACATCTTAATTTTTGCCTATATCACGTGGTGAATATCATAGTTTAGTGTTCCCCTTCACCACTGTAAATAACCTAATTTTTATAAATATCATTATGTAAATATCTTAGTTTTTGTAAACCCCCCCCCCCCCCCCGCTTTCCAAATCACTCTGTAATTATCCCAGCTTTTGCCTAGTTCTAAGGTAAATATAATCATTTTGTATTTCCTTGCATCACTGTAAATATCATAGTTTTGTTTTCCCCTATAACACTATATCAATATTTTAGTTTTTGTGTTCCATACACCACCTTGTGAATATCCCTGTCTTCTGTTTCCCTGTATCTAAGTTAGTTGCGTATTCTTCACTAGAGTTGCAGAACCAACCCAAGCAATTTATTTTGACTGTTGTGGTTTTTCTATGCAAACTTACGCCCAGTAGTTTGCCATTGCTACTGGACGGTCGGGTTCTCGATACCACTGTCGAAACCAGCGCAAGGAGGCCTGCATCTGGGATCGAACCCGGCACCCCAGCATTAAGAAGCTCGTTCGCATCGCCTAAGCCACAGAAGCTGACTTCCCTGAACATGCCGTAAAAATGTGTATCAGTTCAACTTCTACCCAATATGAGACGCATTTTTTTTTTTAAAGTTTATCAGCAAACGTAGAGTTCCAAATCCGATGGTACCAATAACTGTCTGATTGTATATCTGTCTCGCCTTTCCCTTGAGTGTTGAGCGTCGGCCAGATCCCTGCTAACTCCTCGCAGCACCATTCAACTCAGACTGTAAGAATTCATGTGTGCCTCCGCACTGTTCACTCGCTCCCAATACCTAATACCTCCCGCAACCTCTAGTGTGTTATACATCAATATATCCGTAACTGGTGCAGAACCAGCCAGTATATCTGCATGCTCGTTTCCCAACACACCAGCATATCCTGTAAAAAGTATCCAACGGACGCTAACTACACAGGACCTCTGAAAGGATGTTTGCTACCCTGCACGGAGCATGGTGGTGTCCATCTTTTTCGACATGAGTTTGTTACAATTACGACGTGCGTGTACAGTTGATTTTCAATCCAGCTGAAGACAGCAGAGACTGCCTCCATCTCCATTCTCAAACTAGACGTTGTGACATCATATGCCAGTCTATGCTGCACTAAGCTACATCCATTCGCTTTTTCTATGAACCCTCATGTTCGCGAATATCCTATGATTATCAGACATCATGCTGTGAATATCCTAGTTTATCAACACTTTATATTGCGTTCTGACTATTTTAGTTATGTGTTTCCCCCCCCCCCCCCCCCCTTTCCCCCACCCCAGTGTAAATATTCTATATCTGTATTTCCCTACACCACTTAAGAAATATAATTTTGTGTTCCACGACACCACAATGTCGAATTCTTCGCGTTCACCGGCTGTACAGTCCAGCGGAAAGTTCTAGGAGCTTTCTTAATATCCTACCCCAAACAGGGGAAATCCACAGGTCACGGTACAGTCTAATATTTAAGCGGGTGGTAGATAGGCTACATGCACTTGTGGGACCTAGGCTGTACTCTCTTGTGGGATGTAGGTGGGTAGTTCTGTATGCTTTAAGGTCGTTAAAAGCAACAGAAAGCCGTGAAACTCAGTCTTACCACCCTCTAAAATGTTGGACTTTCCTGTGACATCATCTGGGTGTAGGATATTACGAAAGAACAAAGTTCTAGTTACTCGTCCACATCTTTACTTTAGTCTTTTTTCAGGACTTTAGTTGTGAAGATAAACTCTTTTTTATTTAAAAAAAAAAAAAAAAACCAGTTTTCTTAGAATCTGTGATTTACTAAAAAATTAGAACGAGTCTTGAACGTAAACTTAGTCACGCCATGTCAGGCGTAGTATATAGCCTAATTTTTCGTATTTTGTTTCTTTTGAAATATCAGATACAGTGGAACCTCGCTTAACGAGCATAATTCGTTCCAGAATCATACTCGTTAAGCGAAACACTGGTTATGCGAAACAATTTTTCTCATAAAAATTAATGTAAAATACGATAATGCGTTCCATGTCGAAAAAAAAAAATACTCACAAAATGTTTGTAACGTTTATTTTTTAAAAAAATTTATTTTCATATTGTTAAGGAGAGAGAATCATCTTCATCTTTTTTTCAAACACGGAACGAACCCACCTGGAATGCGAATTCGATTTGCAGGGGGAAAAAAAAGTCGAAATAATTATGATACATAGCTAATTATTATTATTATTATTATTTTTTTTTTTTTTGCTGCGAAGATGTCCCGATACATTTGTTTTTGCCGATGCTTCAAAATTTGGCGCAAATGCAATACAGCATTATCATTAAATAAATTTGCAACGCGCATAGCCACTTCCTTATTACTATTAGGGTGATGTTCTCAATGCAAGATGCAACAGTTAGCCATGCATTCAGCATTTCTCTTATTTCGCCAGAGAATTGTTGCTTTTCTGTTACCTCCTCCTCCTTCTCTGACAAACTTTCCTCCAAAGCTTCTTGCTGTGAAACACAATGCAACTCTATAAGCTCTTGGGTGGTCAGCTCTTGGCTGTGTGGCTGTGCTCTCCCACAAGCTCTTCGATATCCATTTTTTTTTTGGCAACTCTATGGGTTGGTGGGATCGTCTCTTTTGATGTCTGCTGAATTGACTTCCCTGCAACATATCTCACTGTTCATCAATAGTCTGTATAATTTCCATTGCATTATACGGGTTTTGTACAGTGACATTGTATTGTTCCTTAATTTCGTTATCCGTTCTAATAATTCCTAATTTAACTTGATGTTCTGTGGTGTTTTTCTAATGTTCTTTAGTTTTATTGTAATTTTTCCTACAACTGGAACATGGTCACTAAAGCAGTCTGCCCCTGGTGCAAATAGGGTTTCAAAAAGAATGCATTTTCATGCTCTGTTTATGCGTTCTTTAAAGCTGTGTAACTTGTTTCATTTACCTAATAAATTTTCAAGCTAATTACGTGTGCACAAAGTTTGAAAAATTGTATCTCGATTTGCATTTGACTTAGAGCTGCACATTGTTCCGTTTAATGGGGCCCGTACAACCAATTTCATGGGACATCATAAAAGAGACATTTTCATTGGTCCATCTTTCAAGGGTCGGTGTCTGTGGCTAAGGCGTTGCGAACGCGCTTTGTAATGCCGGGATGTCGGGCTCGATCCCAGCTGTGGACCTCGCGTTAGTTTCGACAGTGATATCGAGAAGCCGACCGTCAAAAAGCAATGGCAAATTACTGGACGTAAATTTGCCTAGAAAAATCACAACAGCCAAAAAATGCTGGGCTTGGTTCTGTAACATCCTGTAAAAAATAAGCAACTATTTACTAAGAATATAATTTATTCAGCCAATCTGTGCATTCAACTCATACAAAACTTCTGAGGCCGTTTTCTCAAAATAACGTTTTCGTACATTACTGTTTTTAGGATAATTTCGAAACTGTTAGGCAAAATAAAAAAAAAAATAAAAAATTTGAAAACATAATCGTACTTGTACGAGTTATGAGTTAGATTATGTTCACAGCACTCCGGACACTTCAGGTTCCCCTCTCAACATATTCATCAGCTTAGTGTGGTTAATAGTGCCAGTCCTATGTTGGTTAAAAAGACTTTGTACATGTACGTTACCGTTGTCAGGATAATTTCAAAACTATTAGGCAAAAAAAAAAAAAAAAATTGGAGAACGTACTCTTCTGTGGAATCTGTTTAAAACGTGATATTTTTAAGGGTGTCAGCTTTGTCAATGAGATTCCTTATCACCACACATTTAACTTGAGTTGTGTTTTTATGAAACGTTTGGAAATCAGTAAAGATAATATGTTTTAGATACAGAGTTGACAGAGGTTCAGATTATAGCTTAAATATATCTGAGCAGCTACACAAACGTTTAGCTGTATACACCGAACAGTGTTGTGCTTGCTGCTTACTTGTTATACACCACCAGGACATCACAAAGCGATAAACACCCGATGACACTAAGTGCCACCATGCGGATGAGGAAACCCTTTTTAGCCGTTATGGCCACATTAGTGGCCTAGCTATATTCAGGGCCCCCGACAAAAGCCAGGGTGGGGCTTCAAATAACGAAAAATTGCATCCCACAAGGGGAAGACTTGAATATTACAGTGTGTAGTAATAGTAGTAGATTTTACCTCACTAGGACATCACACAAGCGATAAACACCCGATGACACAAAGTGCCACCATGTGGATAACAATCACCTGTGAAGAGGTCCCAGAAACCGCGTTCATCCATTAGACCATATTTACGGTCAGAGTGTATTGAGGCCCCTGGCAAGAGCCAGAGAAGGGCTTCAAATAACGAAAAATTGCATCTCACAAGGAGATAACTAGATGCATAATAAAAAATTTTTTTTTTTTTTTTTGCTACTGCAACCAATTTGCAGGCACTGAAATATTTACCTATATCAAATGGAAATAATTGTGAAATAAACAAATGTAACTTTTTTTCTTGTGATTTATTGTTTATATGATAGATAAGAAAGGCCCTTGCAAAACTGGTTTAATATTTTACCATAGTCAGGTATCTTTAACCATTAGCAAAAACTTGCATGATTTTAGATTTCCCAGCTTGTTCCCTTTCCTAAAACCTGTGGATTTTTGTGTTTTATGGTGGCCCTTCAACTTTCCACTTGTGTGAAGGTTAGTAAACACACCTCTATGTTTACTTTAAGTACGAATAATTCCTTATTTGTTTGTTTGTTGTTGCAGGTCACAGAATCAAAGCCGGATCCGGAAATGACCTTGCTGACCTACATCAGGACGAAATGTATCCTTTTACTCTTTCAACCCTACGCGGACACCTGCGTCGCACTCCCGCTCTTTGAAATGTATATGTTAGATTCACAGCATGGAGGAATTCTACATTTCATACCTTTATACACATCTGTTAACATATTAAGTTACTTTTGTTTTAGTTCCCCTCGCCCCATCTCGGGGAACCCGAGAGTTCATGAGGAAAGTCTAATACTATGGGAGGGGGGGTTAGGATTAGAGCTAGTCAGTGCTCATTTTTACACCGTAACACCCCTATAATACCAAATTAATATCTTCTATTCCATCCCTATGTAAAAGTGAGGTTGAGAATCCCCACCCCACCCCTTCATCCATTCTTTCCCAGGCATATTGAACTAAAAGGATAGAGTTTATAGATCAATCGTCATTCAGTGGGTGATGTGGTGAACCTCACGCTGCCCGCCTTTACTTCCTGAAGCTGTGTAGTTGGTAACAGGAAGTTTTCCGCATTAGGTACCACCCACAGCCGGCTCCAGCTGACGGGTTGTGCTGCTGACATCATCGGGTCGGGCTAACGATGCGTTAACGCAGCGGTTCTCAAACTTGGTGCCCAGCCACCCCCGGGGTGCCGTGAACGTATGCCAGGGGTACCACGGCAGTATTCAAGAAAAATCGACTAAAAATTGTGAAATTTTTAATGAAGGCATATGGGTACTTAAAATTTAAGTTGTCTTCCCTCGCCACTGTCAAAAATAATCAATTCCTTGTTTGCAAACAGCAGCGTTAACGCAATGTTAGCCCGACCCGGTGATGTCAGCAGCATGGCCTGTTAGCTGGAGCCGGTCGTGTACTACCTCAGCTTGCATAGCTACTAATAACAGTACTTTTTCACTTGCTTTTTTTCTCGTTTTACAGGGCGAATTTTTGCCTGTAGAGGTTAGTTGCGTATCCTTTACAGCGCGTTACAGAACCAACCCCAGCAATTGTGTGTGTGTGTGTGTGTGGCTGTTGTGGTTTTTTAGGCAAATTTTATATTCGGTAGTTTGCCACTGCTTCATGAACCATGGCTAACTTAAGGACATTTAGCTGGTTATGCATAGACTAATTGTCCGCAGCCGGGATCGAACGCGGCGCCCCGGCATTACGAAGCGCGTTCGCAATGCCTCAGCCACAGACACCGACAGAGAGCATGAACAATAATTGTGACAATAATTTATTTTTATTAAGGAAAAGGAAACACCTCCATAGGTCTACGAAACACCAGCTTTGACGAACCATGGTCCTGAATCCTAAATGAAACCCACGACTTTCAGAGCGCGAAGCAAGAATCTTAACTACCCGATCACTATATGTGGATCAGGGACGCAGAAACCCGGAAGTTTAAGTACCTTCAAGTGCCCCCCCCCCCCCCCCGCCCCAAACCCCCATCATAAATATGTAAAGAGATTGGCGACTCCCATAACCGTCTGTCGTTACATTTTATTACGTTATTACGAAGCATTCTGTCGGGAGACTGAGAGAACAGATGCTAGACAGTTTGACATTATAGCATGGAGAATCGTCTGGGTCAAAGATGATTGAAAGTGCAAGAGCCATAAGGTTACTTTCCCTATCAATGTATTATGAAGACATCATCATCATCCTGTAACACTACCTGTCGTTGGGTCACCAGTTTCTGTGTAATATATACATGGTTGAAAAAGGATGTCGTGGGCTGAAAGGAAAATATATCGCAGTCTAGCTGTTAACTATAACATAATATGTCAACCGCCCGTTTTAAGAGTGAACGATAAGGAAGAGGAATGATGCAAGCTGGATGTTATTGATATACATATACTGCTTCTTTGGAAACTTTCATCATCATCATCCTCCCGTAACACTGCGTGTCGTTGGGTCACCAGGTTCTGTTGACTGATCGTGTCTCTCCACCTTTGGCGGTCAGATGAGACGAACTTCATTGGTTGCATGCCTGAGAATTGTCCAGTCAGTTGGGTTCTGTAACCAGGTCTTTCTTGGTCTGCCTCTTCTCCTCTTTCCATCTACTGAGCCCTGCAGTATTATTTTTGAGAGGCTGTTAGATCTTATTACATGTCCATACTATTGCAGATTGGAAACTGTATCCATGAGGAAAAAGGCAAACGGAGAAATGGCAACCTGGAGAGGACTGCCCCCCCCCCCCCCCCCTAGGGTTGAAATACTACCCGAGGCGCGCCATGCTGTTGACTAATGAAGAACCTGAAATTCAAGTTTTACTGTAAAATCGAAAAGTTCTTTCTACTTATTTACTATGGTATGAAAAAATCAAAGGAATTAGTTGGTATTAAGCATCATGTGCATCTATGTACTAAAGAAAACCACTATTTTTGCGCCATGAATATTCTAAGGCTGCACGCAAAAAATTAGTGTGATCTAACAGGTAGTTTTAGAGAAAATGGCTTGCAAGTATGTTTATGAGATGTTCAACGAACTATACCAACGCCACACAGCATAGACTTTAAAAAGACTAATACGAAGCACATTATTTTAAAATAGTATTACGTTTATTTGTCATTATGCCATCACCACCACCAACATCCGCCGCTTTAGAAAATTTCTAAGGGGACTGAGGCACCCCCCCCCCCCCCCCCCCACCCTTTCCTTTTCTTTCTACCACCTAAATGTTTTCTCTGTCTGGGCCCTGCTGTCCAGACATTGCCAAATACATTATATGTTTTTCTGAACTCTGACCTTAGTACATCTGACTGGCGCCAAACTTGGGTGCGGAGAAGGAGGATGTGGGGCCTGTACCGTGATGGTGTCTAGATACCTTCCAGCCATAGATGTTGTCAGGTAGGTCTGTAAATAATTATTTATAGCAATAGATACAAACTAGCCAAGAGATTACATGTTTATTAGCCATATGCTATGATAAACTACGTATCTTTATATAAACACATCTTTTTCTTCTTCAGCATTCCAAGCCCTTGAGGTTCCTTGCTGCAGATAGCTCCCGCCTTCACTCATCTCTCTGGCTGGCCTTCTTTTTCCAGTTGGTGACACCAAGTGTTTGCAGATCTCTCTGGACATTATCTCTCCATGATCTTCTTGGTCTGCCTCGTGGTCTACGACAATGCATCTCCCTTGTGTATACAGTTTGTACCTCTGTCATCTGACATTCTTTCAATATGCCCCAGCCATTTCAACCTATTAGTTTTCATGTTGCCAGTGAAAAATGGCGATTTAAACAGACTGAATTTCGTTGTTGCTTCTCACTCTCTATTTCCCGCTTTTACATCTTTGAAAGGTCCAAAGATTCGCCGTAATACCCTGTTTTCGAAAGCCTGCAATAAGCCTTCATCTTTTTTAGTTGTGCTCCAAGTTTCAGAGCCATATAAAACGACCAGTCTTATAAACGCTTTATACATTTTATAGACTAATCGGCCGCCTTTGCTTCCAAGAATTTAAACTGGTACCCATTTAGGGCTGTCGACCTAGGAGCCGTAGTCATTAAAAAGAAATCCCGCTCCATCGGGATTATTCTCATGCTTTGAAGTGAATTATAGGACTGATTTCAGGTCTAGGTGGTATCGAGGCATGGTATCCGCCTCGAGTGCTAGAGGTTACGGGTTTAATCCCCGGTAATGGCTGGGATTTTTTTCCCGTGGACTTAGACTTCTAGTAATTCCCCCTGGTCTCTGGGTAGTGAGATCGAACGCCCGTGTGCATTGTTGCGCACGTAAAAAATTCTTTTGCAGTTGGAAATCAAAAAGAGTAGCCTAACGGCTGACCGGGCAAAAATTTGGAGTTGAAAATCTACCCAAAGTATTTCAGTATCCTCGCCGGTGCTACAGAGCCTGTGCACTGTGCTGAGCTTCTTCTGACTCACACTTGAGTTGGAAGAAAAACGAAGCACTTATTTATGAGTTACATCAGTGTGCTATGATGTTGATCCGTTGTTCAAACTTCAAACTTGTTTTTTAATTTCTCTTTTTTTTTAAAATGGTACATCTCTGTGTTATTACTGTTACTCGTCTAATTCACACAATCTCTAATGATTTTTACACTTATTTTGTGTGTGTGTGTAGGAAGGGTCTATCTTTGAAAATTATTTTGCTTTCAAGTCGTCATTATGAAAAGAACTAAGATGGGGCGTTAATTTTCACTGCGCACAAAAATAGAGCAGTGAAGAGAAAAGCTGTCTGTAGCGAAGCTGAAACTTCCACTAACCACTAAGATACACACATTAATACACATTAGGCCCGGCTTGCTAGCGTAGTTGGCTAAACCTGACTTCGCGGTGACCGGGTGACGAACTCCTTGTGGTCCTGGTTCACGCCCGGGGGTAGGCAGAAAAGCCAAATTTCTCCCAGATTTACGGTATTTATCATGGAATCAAGGCCGAAGGGTTGCGATAGTACCGAGCCAAAGGGTTAAGAACTCATGGTGTCTGGATATTTAAAAAAATAAATACACAATATGGGCGAAGTATTTTCTGTTCTTGAACGTTTTTAAAAAATAATATTGTTGTTTGATTCTCAGACACTACAGTGTCAACGCCTGTCTAGCGCCTCTGTGCTCCATGCAAGGTCTGGCTGTCACAACTGTGGAGGGAATAGGCAATATGAAAAACATTCACCCAGTACAGGTAAACAAAATAATTACTAACATACACACACAACACACACACATATACGAGATGGCTCCAAATGAAAACCTTAAAAGTATGACAAGTTTGAAGTTTGAATAACGGACCAACATCATGGCACACGGGTCGACCCATAAGTGCTCCGTTCTTCTTCTAACTCAAGTTTGAGTCCGAAGAAACTCAGCACAGTGCACATGCTCTGTAGCACCGGCGAGGATCCTGAAATGTTTTGGATAGATTTTTAACTCCAACTTTTGCCCGGGCAGCGTCGTTAGGCTACTCTTTTCGATTTCTAACTGCCAAAGCGTTTTTTACGTGCTCATCAATGCACACGGGCGTCCGATCTCACTACCCAGAGGCCAGGGGAGTTGCTAGAAGTCTAAGTCCACGTGAAAAATCCCAGCCCTTACCAGGGATTGAACCCGAAACCTCCAGCACTGGAGGCGGACACCATGCCTCTAGACCACGCAGCTCCCAAACGTGTGACAGAAACTATACGCCCGGGTCAGGCAGACATAGTAGTCATTCACAGAAGTCACACCGCTTTGAAACTTTATACTCTATGCATACACTTGCTGAATTTATAGGCATGCATAATCTTATTATACTTTATTCGCCCATGCATTTATAAAGGTTTCACCCAAAATACTGACCAAAAGAACAGAAACAGAACGTTGTTCATCTCAGGTGCATGTTAAAAGTGGGGCGGCCATATTTAAGCGGTCATAATGATGTCACAGTGTTCGTCTGTACCGTGATGTCATGTGCTTAACACTAGTGACATCCCCAACAACAATACTGAACGGTTACAAAACAATTGCATGTCTATTGTGATATCTATCACACTTTTAAGGTTTTCACGTGAAGCCTCCTCGTATATAGTACAACAGCACGAACAATAAATTGCTGCCATTAGAGGTAATCAGAGGATAGAACAAATATGAAGCTCTTGGGCTTTCACGGCTGAAGTTGAAGGGAGAGTTGTGAAAGAAGATTCTGGAGCTTTTGCCGTAACTACAAGGAGTCTGACTATGGAGGTCATGGCTGTGACTAAAGCAGTAACATGGCTAGAGACACAGACTTTTACTGGGGCATGCTTTCTCAGTGACTCGATGAGTATGCTCAGGAAGATAGAAAAGGGCTGGGTCCGATAGTAGGGATTGGTGACTGCACTGCTCACGGCTGACAAGGATTAGTTTCATTTACGTGCCAGGACATGCGGGAGAACAAGGAAACGAGCAAGCTGATAGACTTGCAGGTAAGGCTACTGTGAAAGCCAGACAAGCCATGGACCAGGCTGATATACTGAATGCTCTACATGATTCAATCCGTTTGCTTGAACCAATTGAGAACTGTGAATCTGCAACCATGGTCAGACTGCAAAAACAAAGTTAAACGTGGTGTCCCAAATAAGAACACTACGCGGGTAGCCAAAGAAGATTAATAAACAAACACAGAACTGGTATCGTCAGCCACTACACGCTGCGGAATTTACTGAGGAGGGGATCCGAGCACATATGGATTGAGTGGTTCGACATTTAATAAGGATAATCTATCAATTAACTAACTAACTAACTAGTTAAGAACAACGATTCTTCTCTTTAAATAGAGCAAAAACACATGGATGTGAATGCTAGATAATTAGTTTAAAAAAAAAAGCCAAACCATATTTTAAAGCCTAATAGAAGGGGTTTTGTAAATGAATACTTATAATTTGGTGTGCAAAAAACTGATTAAGTTGAATGTTTTTAAATACAGCTTATCACAAACATAAAGCGAAAAAAAAAGCACAAATAATTTATGCCATGTTTTCAGAAGAGAAAAACTGAAGCCGGTGTGGCAACTGGAAGGCTTAATGGGAAGAGAAAACGGAAGATAGTGAGATACGCTTCTTGACAGCTTTACGTCATGCAATGGAAAGACGTCAGCATACAGACTAATTCTATAGCTGTTTGTTGTTTCTCCATCTCCAGTGATTGGGACTAGTCCTTTCATCGGACTGAAAGTTTAGTTTATGGTCTTTCCTGACTGATGAGACCAATCTTGGAACAGAAGTTTATCAGGCAGAGTCGGCAGAAAATGCCTTATCAGTTGGAGAATCCAATCAATGGACTTTCCTGGCCTGAACTGACGCTACTGTCCTAAATGCTGCATGCACATCCGCCGCTCCCAGAGGAAGAGATAAGCTCCAGGATGAACGGTCAAGTGTATCATGATCACTGCTAAAAGTCTCATGCCGATACCTGCTGTAAGAGGTCTTAAAATGAGGAGAAGCATGAATGAGGCTTCGGATAGGACTTTCCATGCCCTCCTTTCCCGTGTAATCTTCAGTGCAACATTCTATGTCAGAGATGCAGCCCTCAGTTCACTTTCCATCATTTGTCTCCATGCCATGAGCAATGCGGCTACCATCATTTAGTTAATTCATCCGCTAGAGGCTCGCCTGCGGATCTGATATTCATGGGCTCGGGTAATGACTGATCCAAACGCCCTCCCCCTTCCCCTTAAAAAATATACATAGGCTCCCAAGTCAAGCAATCTTAAATTACCTGGATCTACACACCTGGATATGCGGGCGTAAAGGGAAATGAGCGAGCGGACCAACTGGCAAGCATTGCATAAAGTTATGTGGGAAGAAGTATGCAAAGAGCAGATATCGTCAACGCTGTACGGACTGGGCTAGTGGATAATGAGGAATTCCTGACACTAACACGATTGAGTGACATGGGAGTAAAGCATGGTGAAGCACGTCTATGCCATCTTTTAGGCCGATATAGGATACAGTATAACCAGTTTCTCATGGGAACAATTAGTAGAAGTACTTTGGAGTGGCTGATGCTTCGAAGGATTGTGCACGCATGGAAATATCCAAAGTGCAGTGACGTCGATTGTGATAACATAACATAATCTTAAATGTGTACCAGATAAAGTCTTGAGAAGTAAAGGCGGCCGGGGTCATGTTGACCACGTCACCCACCTTGTGCCGACTGGTCTATAAAAATACTTGCCTAGCCGTGTATGCACAATACACCTGAACTAAGAACAACAATTCTTTTTTCTAAATAGAGCGAGTTTTAACACATGGATGTGAATGGTGGAAATATGTCGACATACAGACTGATTCTATAGCTGTTTGTTGTTTCTCCATCTCCAGTGATTGGGACTAGTCCTTTCATCAGACGGAAAGTTTAGTTTATGGTCTTTCCTGACTGATAAGACCAATCTTGGCACAGCTGTTTATCAGGTAGAGTCGGCAGAAAATGCCTTATCAGTTGGAGAATCCAATCCACGGTCTTTCCTGAGCTGAACTGACGATACCGTCCTAAATGCTTCAGGTGGTCTATAAAATTCTGGTTTAGCCCTGAATGCACAATACACCTGAAGGTGTGAAAAAAAAGGTCGTTTACTTTTTACTGTGAGTCACTAATGTAATGAATCACCCAGTCAGCTTATCAACGTGTGGCTACATCCTAAATGTTTTATGTAATAAACTGTTACCAGGAAAGGATAGCCAAGTTCCATGGGTCCCAGTGTGGGTTCTGCACTCCAGGCATCGTCATGTCCATGTACACACTTCTGAGGAACAACCCCACCCCAACAGATACAGAAATGGAGGCATATTTCGATGGTTGGTACATCAAATTTATAGTTGCCCACAGTTAGTCTACAATAAAAAAAAAATTAAACACAATTCCTTAAAACTTTGAATTCTCGGTACCGATCTGGACTTCTCATTTACTGAGTAGAACCCCGCTGCCCTTCCCCCGTTTACACGCATTTCGTAAATGGCAACTATTTAGAGGTATACAGAAATCGAATGTGTTGGACCGAAAGATGCAGATATCGCAGGCTAATTGTAAGTCACAAAGCAGAGTGCCCAATGCCCCTTTAAAGACAAACTAAGGAAAACAGGAAATTGCATGCGTGCGCGCACTTTTCCCCTCTGGGCTACTACCTGAAGGTTTGACACCTCGAGATTACAAAATCCCAATCGAGATTGCAAATCAAGAGAGCGAATTCCTGATACCCTGTTCATCTTCCAAAGAATTATTACTTGGACAGCGGTAACAGCTTCATTAACCCGGAGTAGCATTCTGTCTTCGCGGGTAAGGATTTGAGGGTGGTGGAAGGGGGTGGAGGAGGTGTTAAGAAACTGATAGTAATCCACTTTCATGGATACAATTCCTTGAAAATATATTGTACTATATAAACATATATGTTTTTTTTTAAAAACTGACAGTTATCAATAATATATTGTTTTTTTCTCGGAATATTCGTTGCTCCACACGGCATTGTCAAACACCAGGCGCGTGTGTGCACAATTTGAACTGGATTGATTTTTCCGAAATAATGTGGAAAAAGAAGGCGAAAGTTTTGACCTGTGACCAACAATCTTTATAAAAGCTAATTAAAAAAAAAAAAAAGGGAGTATTGTCAGAGGAATTGTCAGGATTACTTCGAGCAGAGTGGAAAGCTTCACTTGCAAGGTCACAGGTAGTGAGCATGCTTTGGATCTTTTCTCCAGGCTACGCCGGCGTGGTCAAACTCCAACAAACGGATTTCTACACAAGGCTTGAGTTCGTTCCTCCAGAATGTGTTTTATCTGCATTCACAATCAATTATCATGGAGGTGGAGGCGGTCACTGCAGCTTGCCGGTGGCTAGAGAACAAGATACATACACATATCGTAATTGTAACTGACTGAAAGCATGCTGAAAAAGGTGAAGACAGGATTGCTTCGAGAAGAGTGGCAAGGTTCACCACTAGTGAGTATACTTTCGATCTTTTCTCCAGCAATGCCGGCGTAGTGGGAAATGAACAGTCAGACAGTTTGGCTGGATCTGCACCGATGGGTGGTGAATTTATGAATGACAAAGCAGATGTAGTCAGAGTCCTTTGGGAACAATTAACGAAATCAGAACAGAAACATTATTATGGGCTGGAGAGAATGATGCACCTCGGTGTGACCAGAGGGTTCGGCTGGCGCACTACGCTCAGAGGAAAAGCAAGACGGGCATACAACCAGACTACGAACGGCACCATTAGTATTGGAATTCTGCGCTGGCCGCTGATGATGGTGACGGAGCGCGTATGGGAATGCCCCGAGTGCTGTGATGTAAATTCTTGACTCAACTCACCTTGTCATAGCTCTCTACTCATTCATTCATTCAGTAGCATGTCCCTCGCGGAACCTCGCTGCCATAACAACCCTCCGGAAAACCTTCCTATCCTGAGCAAGATGTCCTGCGTCTGATACACCCATCTGGAGATCATCTGCCACATCCTGCACCCATCTTCTCCTTGGCCTTCCTCTTCCTCTCTTCCCAGGCATATACCCCTCCATTATTGTTCTCTCTAGACTTCCATGACGTTTCAAGTGACCAAAATATTTCAATTTTCTTTGTTTTATTGTCTTTACTAGCCAACCCTCTTCAATATTCAGCTCTTAAAGTAGCTCTCTACTACGAAAGTTTAAAATCAGAAATCAAACTCCAGCAGACGGATTTCTACACAAGGTTCGATTTCATTCCTCCGGAATTTAAGTGCTTTATTCGCATTCACAATCAAATTTTTGATTTACTGCGGGTATCTATGAAATCCTGAGAACTATATTTCTCATCCACATAGACAGTACTACTTTAAGCAGTATCTATGGTAGCATTTGTTTCCTTGATTGCCACTTCTGTGATAAACAAAACTCCATACTAAGACGTTGACTTGAAGTCACAGCATCCCCGCGTCACTGCAACTAATTTTTATTTACAGAAATAAATATCTGTTGATCAGATCTGTTCATCTTCAGTACGCAGTGAGCAGGTATTGGGTATTTAAGAAGACATTTGCTATTTTTGTTTTTACTGTTACTTAGCAAAATAATTTATTATACTTTCAGTATTCTCGTCATTATTTATCTTACAGTTGTGTCATAGTCTTGGGGAGGTCAGAATACTCTTCTTAGCGCTCCATGGTTGACACCGGCTATCTTATAATGTCAATCTCTGTGATTAAACAGTGTCCTTAATCCATCTTCCTGGGTGCCTTATCGTATCCGACCTTCCTAGTTGTGGAGTCTGTGTTGCTAACTTATGTTTTATTGTAATAAGAACAGGCGCAAATTGTGTTTTTCAGGCTATTTGGTGGGTTTTGTTCCCACAATCCGATTATCAGAATTATTGAAAAAGCACACTTAACACAACATAACCTTTGACCCTTGAGGGTCATGGAGGTGTTTCAATCCAAAGTTAGTTCTACGATAATCTCCCCAGCCCCCAGCCGTCTGCGGGGGGGGGGGGGGGGGGGGGGGGGGGGGGTTACGGCTATGTTGTTTTCTTTCTGTCTTGTCTTGCATTTTAGTTTTTATTTAGAGAAAGAGAATGCCTGTGACATAATTTGCAGCACTCTCTAGGGAGGTTGTGGGTTAGACCCAGTTTCTAAATGTTTTTGAAGTGTTAAAACACCCTATATCAAGGGCATTGACGAACACCACCCTAGTATTGTGCAAAAGTCGGGTGAGGTCGACCAATCAGAAGTGAGCTAGTGTGTAACGTGGGAAGACTCCCCCCCCCCCCACCCCAAGGTGTAGGCATTGATACATCTCCACAGATCTCAGTCTTTGGTGTTCAACATCAATTCCACTAAAGATATTCCTCTATCTCAAGCCATCCACCATTATTTCTATTGGTATGCTATATTCTACCAGTGATCTTTCCGGTCGTCACAATATTTTCCAGTGCTCCTTTTCTCATCACATGACCAAAGAACTTCCTTGAAGTATAGTCTTTGCAATCAAATCATGTCTCACCACGAACCAAGCTAGCTTGTGACATTTCTCCACTGCCAGAGAGGCTCCTGATGTCCTGCACAGTACGGCATACCCATAGTTGCTCTATCTCCCATAGCCAATGACTTTAGGTGTAGATGTTGTTCTATTAGAACAGTGGTTGTACACAGGTCATACTGTTCCTCTCCTACGTCCTTTCTTGCTGGACCCACTCCTAATTTCACATTTACACATCCTTTGACATGTTATTTAATCTAACCTCATATCTTCTGTCAGCATTTATTCATGAATGGTCTTCATAATCTCTCTGTTGTCCAATATGAGTGTTCCAAAAGCAATTGCATTTTTGTAGCCAGAAAATCCTCCTTTTCATTCCTTTGCACTCCTGCATATCCCTAACAGTATATGCATATGAGTCTCTGTAATGTTGACATGTTTATTCTTGGTAGCAACTCATACCACATTTGTCAGTTTTGAACCTTTCCCATTACCAACTCAGAATCTAATACTATAAAACCTCTAGTACAGCCATTGTCAACCTGCCGGTAATGACCCTTTTTTGGGGGGGTCGAATGACCCTTTCACAAGGGTCACCTAAGACCATCAGAAAACAAATTTTCATTAAAGTTATAAAGGAAAATAATTGTTTGGGAGTCGCCACAACATGAGGGAACTGTATGAAAGACTCCTGTCATTAGAAAGGTTAAGAGCCACTGCTCTATTAGTTCTCTAGTAGTTCTGTTTTCTGCTATCCACTTCCAAGCTGCAGAGATTGCCTCCACCTCCATCCTGGAGATTGCCTCCACCTCCATCCTGGAGATTGCCTCCACCTCCATCCTGGAGATTGCCTCCACCTCCATCCTGGAGATTGCCTCCACCTCCATCCTGATGCTTAAATTTGTTGATAAAAAGCACCATATTGTTTTGCGGTAATAAATATAAAACAAAACAAGAGTCATTGTCAAGCATAGATATCAAATATTGGGCTATCTTCTGAATAATGGTCCCAAATTATCGAGGCTGAAAATATACCCTAACAGGGCTTCAGTCAAATGTAAATTGCGGACTTCCTCCACCGCCGAGAGTATCTTCCACGCCGCTATGCGCATCGTGGAGTGGGGCTAAACTAGATGGCTGGGGCTCACGAGCAAAAAAAAAAAGAAATAAGCTGCAAGAGATGCGGTAACTGCTGCTTATGAGTCCCAGCCAACTAGGGTATATTTTCAACCTCCCAAGATAACCTAATATTGAAATAGAAAACAAAATTTCTACTTATCCTAATTATAACCCAGATAGGTTGAACAAGATACAGTGGTTCAAATTACTATTTCTATGTGATCAAAGTAATTTTTGTTTTTTAAGCTACAAATGGTTTCAGAAAGATCCAGTTTGGCAGGTTCCTAGTCATTGCAAACCTGTAATTCCATACTTGGTTGTTTGCCTACAACAACAGATTTTCTATCTTTGTCAATGGTTTCGCCGATTCAATATCCTTTTGTGTATGAATTCTGAACAAATGTAATTTGATCTGGTATTTCAAATTTGGATTTGTCATAACAATAAGATATAAACAGCTTGTTTGTCTGTTTTATAGACACAAAAGACGGTATTATCATCTAAAATGGATCTGAAGGTTTCGTTGTTATCTCTCTATTAATGTCAGGGGTATTAAATGTGGCAAAGGCACCAGATAGCAGCGTCCATGGCTTAGACGTTGGGAATCTGGCTCCTAATACCAGTGTACCGCGATCGAAACCCACTGCTGGCTGCATGGATTTTTATCATGGTATTTGGCGTTGCAGGTTGACCCAGCCTAAAATTGGGACCTGGTTGTATGTCCTGGGGAAGTAAAGACGGTCGGCGTAATGCTGACCACATTACCCACCTAGTGCCGATTAGTCTGTAAAAATATGGGTGCTCTTCCCATATGACCGATGTGCCTAAAGGTGTGAAAAGGGACCTTTATTTTTTTTTTTACTAAAGACACCTGGAACCTTGGGCCTCAGCCACCTTGAAACCCTTCCACTTCCCACTGTGGGTTCTTAGGCCTTATTTGGGCAGGAGGGAGGGGAAAGACCCACTGGATTTTCACAACAAAAGATAATTGCCTATCTCTTACAGGATGTTGCAGAACCAACCTCGGCATTTTTTAGCTGTTGTGATTTTTCTAGGCAAATTTTACGTTTAGTAGTTTGCCATTGCTTCTGAAAAGTCAGCTCTTGGTACCACTGTCAAAACCAATGCAATTCGGTCTGCTGTCAAATTGCCTGCAGTTCGGATTGAACCTGGCACTCCATCATTACGAAGCGCGTTCACAATGCCTAAGCCACAGACGCTGACCCACAACCAGCGTGTCATAAAAGGCACATAATTAGGGCATTTTCTTTGAAGTTAGAGTACATCTGCCTCAGTGGCAAGGAACCAACAGTCTGCATACAAATAAGTCACACATGTAAAAAAGATGCAAAGATTCTTTATATCAACACCTCTGAATCGTGCCACTTTACATTCTTAGCTTGTCAGATCTTCAAGCTCGGGAAGGCTAACCTCATCAGTTAATAATGCCTGCAGAAGTTGAATGTGTCAGCTGACAGCTGCAAATATTGCTTTAAACGGGCACAACGCAGTCACATCTTCTGATCAATGCAGAAGATGATCATCTTTAAGCTAGGTAGCTTGAATACAGAGCAAACTAAGACTGGAATAATGAAAAAGAGGTGTTGGTACTCACCACTGTCTAAAAAAGATGCAGGAACTTATCTCGCAGTGTCTATTAGTCGTACTGAAAAATATGATGCCCAGAGCGGTGCCAGTACTGTGTACTGCTAAAACAAAACAAAAACCTAGGTGTACCATTAAATGCTCCCATTCTAAACTGAGCACCAGAAATGTTCTGTAAAGGAGCTTTCGGTTGAGATTAAAACCCAAAGCCTTCAGGCCAACAGGCAAGCATTTAGCCACTATACCACCACAGCTCCCTAACACATATGTATATTGCTGTAATCAGGAACTCATTAAGATTTCCTAATAGCTTTGTGTGAATATTTTCCTTATAGGCCAGTGTGTAGTGCTTATTAACTGAAATTGTGTTTGTTTGTTAAGTAAATGTCACTGTTAAATCAGATAAAAAAAATGTTGGGTGTAATGACTGACATAAATAAGGTCATTTTGCAGGAAATCTGTGTCGATGTACAGGCTATCGGCCGATACTTGATGGCTTTCGTACTTTTACCAAGGTCAGTGTTTGTGTCATATTTATTTATCACATGTACACCAATTTTGTCAGTTTGTAGTAAGGTATTTGTTAAAGTATTTCCATTTCATAGGTACAAATTGTTTTCTTGTTAAAATTTTAAATCCTGTTAGCCTTCAATAACGACATTCAGATAGCTGTTAGCAGAATAACCAAGTAGGGTGCAAAGTTCAAACTTTGCATCATTTCACCATGATCTATTAGCCTACCACCTCTGCCTTCAAAGCTTCACCATCTGTAGATTCATATCTCCACCATCCCTACAGCCTTTGTTCTACTGCTTCTATTTTTATTGCTCTACCATCTCTATATTAATAATCTCACCATCTTTAGATTTTTTTTTTCTGCCTCTATATTCATCAATCTAGCACCTACACATTCATTAATTCCATGACTATTAGGCTGAGAATACTTAGAAGTTGCCCCCTCGTGGGATGCCGTTTTGTTATTATTTTGAAGCCCCACCCTGGCTTTTCCCAGGCGCCCTAATAAAGCCGGGCCAAAAATATGGCCTAGCTATAGATATGGCCTAATGGCTGAAAGGGGTTTCTGGGACCTTTCCACAGATGATCCTTATCTGCATGGTGGTACTTTGTGTCATCAGGTGTTTATCGCTTGTGTAATGTCCTGGTGGACATAACTACCTACCTACCTATAAGGCTGAAGGTGTTAATGTTTTATCACGGTGTTGGTGAATTTAAACAAACTCAGTGCTAGAAAGATTGACTGAATTACAATATTTCTTCCTCCTTTTCTTCATTGATTTGTTTATTGTAAATGGTCCTGTAAAACTGACATATTCTTTATGTTTTTTTCTAACTTGTTCTATCTTTTCTTACCTATCTTCTCTTATTTTGTTGTTGTTGTAATGACTGAATACCAAAACAGTTGTTTTATAACTTCCTGTGTGCAGGAGTTCAAGTGTGCTCTTGGGGAGCAGTGTTGTCAGAAGAGGTCAACAGCAACCAATCACAGCAGCTCAAACACAGTCAATAATGTTAGCAGTGGTAAGATTAATGGAGATCTTAGCAACAAGGATCACATCACAAATGGTTACAGTGAATCTGAAAGTGATGATGCCAGCAAAGGATGTTGTTCAGCTGGCGGTGGTTGCTGTCAAGGTAGAGCTGCTGCTACTAGTCATGAACAGTCGGACGTTGATAATGCAAATATTGTCATTAATAGAGTGGCAAGTGATCACAGCCAGACACTCACAGATGGCTGTTGTGGACTGGGTGGTGGTAACTGCTGCAACAAGAGTGGAAGCTCTGATAGCCCTAGTAGGATTTCAAACACTGAGGTGAGTGCTATTGAATGTATAAATGTATATAACTTAACAGTTGATTTAGAAGGCTTCTGAAATTTGTTTAGGAACTTTTGATGTTTAACAAACTAGTAAATTAGCTTCTTCTTCTTCTGCCTTTCTATCCCCCAATGGAGCATAGGCCCTCAACCAACTCACGCCAAGTCGTTCTATCCTTCGCCATTACATGGAGCTCTCCCCATGTCCTCCCAATCTTTCTAACCTCATTCTCCAGCTCTCTTCTCCACGTGTTTTTTGGCTTTCCTTTATTCCTATGCCCCTGTGGGTTCCAATGCAAAGACATTCTAGTTATGCTGTTCTCCTGTTTTCTCTATCCAACGCCAGCGTCTTTTCCTCACCTCCTGATCCACTGGAGCCTGTTTAGTTTAGTAAATTAGCAGTTACAGGTTATTAGACCTCGACCTCTACTATAATTTAACTCATTCTTCTTCTATGTTCACTGGCTGTAAGCTGCGGCAGAAAGTCCGGATTGTTCATCCATTTGGACTTTGGCTTTGTCCCAGGGCCTGAGTTTTGGGTGTGCTTCCTTGTTACTGGCTTATTTCTGTGCAGTTGGTTGTTCCTTGCCGCTTAGGCAGATGCACTCAACTAGTTAACTCTCTTTCAATGTTTAGCAATTTTGTCTACAATACTTTCAGTTTCAAAGCCTTTGTCCCTTAAAATACAAGACTTTGAGTCCTGTTCAGTTGAAACGTACAATTATAAGACTGAACTAGTCAAAGTAGGAGCAGAATTGGATGGCATTGTAGAAACTTGTGACAAAAGAAGTTGAGAAGCATATACAATGTACATAAGTTTCCTTAAATAGAAAAAATATTATTAAAAAAAAAAAACACACATTTTGATGTGTCTTCTACAGTTGAAGAACACGTATAAGCACAGCTGGAGTTATGTTTGTAATAGTATTGGTGATGTGTTTATTTTGTCTATGTATGGAAACTTATGGAACACCCTGTATTGAGTATTTAATGAACGTATAGTGAGTTCTGAATGTATAGTGAGTTCTTAGGTATTGAAAGAATAAGATGTGTGTAAGTGGGACATGAATGGTACAGGTATCGGTGTGGATTTTACACCACTTGAGTAGGAATTGATGTATGACAAGCTGGATGTTGTGAGGGTTCTTTGAGAGAGAGTGGACAGTGCGGAGGGACAGATGGATCATTATGTTCTGAGGAGAATGGTGCTGGCGGGAGTTACCAGGGGATCTGGCCAATGCTCAACACTCAAGGGAAGGACGAGACGGATGTACAGTCCAGTTACTGGTACCATCGAAATTGTAACTATTCACTTGCTGCTGAAGATGGAGACGGAGCACATATGAAAGTGTCCCAAGTGTTGTGATGTCAATTCTTAATTCAGCTTTCCGTGTAGATTTGTTTGAACAGGATGCTGTATATATATACAGTAGAACCTCGCTTAACGAGCACCTCTCATAACGAGTAATTCACATAACGAGCAAAACTAATTGTTAAAGAATAACTTGCTTAACGAGCGACGTTTCGCATAACGAGTGGCGAGGAGAGGTGAGGTCCCAGAGTGTGCGCATGTTACATCAGTCTGTGTTTAGCACTTGTTCCAGTAGCATCGTAGTGTTGCTTGTGATCCCACATTTTCTCAAACTTGTGTTACATTGTGATATATGTACATGAATCCTCCAGGCCTACAAGATGACCTCCCTGAAGAATTTAAGTTCATCAAGATCCAGTTTCTGCCTCCCAATACCACTCCGTTACTCCAGCCCATAGACCAGCAAGTTATTTCTAACTTTAAGAAGCTCTACACTAAAGCACTCTTTGAGCATTGTTTTCTGGTTACTGAAGGAACAACCTCACTCTCAAAGAGTTTTGGAAAAATCACTTCCACATCATTGCCTGCCTGAAGATGGTTGTAGATTTGTGACTTTGAGGGTTTTGAGACCTGTAGTCAATGAGATTTGGTCACTATCATGGGATTGTAGGTGAAAAACAGTGATATTGAAGAACTTGTGGAAGAGCACAGCCAAGAGCTGACCATCGAAGAGCTTATGGAGTTGCATTGTTTTGGAGGAAAGTTTGTCAGAGGAGGATGAGGAGGTAACAGGAAAGCAACAATCTTGTGGCGAAATAAGAGAAAGGCTGAAAACATGGGAAACTGTTGCATCTTACATCATCATAATAAGGAAGTGGCTATGCGTGCTGCCTGCAAATGTATTTAATGATAATGCTGTATCGCATTTTTGCCAAATTTTGAAGCGTCAGCAAAAACAAATGTCCCTGGACATCTTTCTAGTAAAAAAAATAATTAGCTATGTATCATAATTATTTCGACTTTTTTCCCCTGCAAACCGAATTTGCATTCCTGGTGGGTTCATTCCGCGTTTAAGGAAATATGAAGATGATTCACTCTCCTTAACAATATTTATTTACTTTTCTTCAAATAAACTTTATACACAACATTTTGTGAGTATTTGTTTCAACATGGAATACATTATCTTATTTTACATTAATTTATATGAGAAAAATTGTTTCTCATAACGAGTGTTTCGCTTAACGAGTGTGATTCTGGAACGAATTATGCTGGTTAAGCGAGGTTCCACTGTATATATATATATATATATATATATATATATATATATATATATATATATATATATATATATATATATATATTCTTGTAGGAAATTAAATGAAATGACACAGTCTTTATGAACTTTATGAATAACGCTGAAATTCAGTGACATCTCAACATTTATTCAAATTAGCTATGCTAATTTTTTTTTCTTTTAAACATAGCAAACATGACAAAATTTAACAGTGTGGGTAAATTTTTTAATGGATGAAGCCTGTATAAGTCCTAACATTTGTGTTTTGGGAACAATGACCATGGAGGCCCTTTAGACACCTCAGGCACATAGTTCTACTCATTTTCCTGCCTCCTGCTATATTTTGGTTGCTATGACGCAACAGCCCCTTTCACCTGTTGGGCACAGGTAACACCAGACAAAAATCGATGTACGGAAATTACGAAAAGCAACAAACTTTCATGAAAGCAGCCATTAAACAGCCCACACGTGCAAGAAATGTGAGAAGGAATCTATCTAAGTGACTGGTATGAAGACCAGCCAGCCAATCTCAAGGCTTATATTACCAAACCGACAGATAGGCCCAGCCATCTTTTTGACTATTTTACTGTTGGTCCGATAGATCGGCCCAGTCCTCCCCAAAGGGTTAACAATCTGGTCTTGCTAGTCACATTTGCTGTCGGCATGGGCTGTGCTTGTCATGTTTCCTTACGGCACAGTATTAAATTACTGTCTGGAAGTACAGAGAGACGCCAACCAGTTATGGGAACAAGTAGAGCAAGAAAACAGGTAAAAGGAGAGAAACAAGTTCTCTTTATCTTTTTCGCATTCACCGGATGTAAACTCTTGATGGGAAGGACTGGTTGTTTGTCCACTTCTAGACTTTATCCTTGTTCACAAACTTGAGTTTTGTGTGCACATCTGTTTTACAGATCTGGCTTATTTGTATACAGACTGTTAGTTCCTTACCTCCCAGGCAGATGTACTCCGACTTTGCAGGATGAAACAAGCTGATAAGCATGTTAGACAACAGAACAGTTTAATTCAAATTAATAAGACATGCTGGATCTGGATAGAACGCACATTGATTCACAGGGCAAAAGAAATTAGTGAGACCTGAAAAATCAGCAGATAATAGAATTAATACTGAAATAAATTATATGTAGAGGATATGTAAGGAGTTCGAGTCTGACCCAGCGTACAGTGGGCACCAGGCAATGTCCTGGGAGGTATAGGTGAAGGGAATGATGTTGACAATGTTATCCATCGACATATAGGCCAGATACTGTATGCTCCATATGCCGAAGACATGATGACAAGAGTTATTTAATTTAAAAAAAAAAAAGTTTTCAGTGGCGAGGTGTGATCAGTTCACATATATAAGTGTTGACAGGTAACAATTACACTGGAGGTGTATCAGGTGATATTTTCCTCCTCATCACTTCGATGTTGACTTAGAATGCGTGCATAGCTATCATTGTAGTAATAGTATCTGGTAGCTTTTACACATCAACAGTTTCTGCATGAGTGGTGTAAGTATGCAGCAAGTCAGGTATAATAGTAATAAATAGTAAAATAATGCATTTTTCTTTGGCTGTGAAAAGTCTGAGTGGCCATTACAGCTGTTACAAGCACACCTCGAAATTGGAAGTTGCAGAATATATCAGAAGAAAGGGGCCATCTCCTTGGGTTGAGTTGAGTTAAGAATTGACATTACAGCACTCTAGCATTTCCATGCGTGCTCCATCCTCATCTTCAGCAGCCAGCGCAGAGTTCCAATACTGATGGTATATGTCACAATCAGCTTATATGTCCTTCTTCCTTTTCCTCTGAGTGTAGTGAGCTGGCCAGACCCTCTGGTTACATTCAGGTGCCTCATTCTCTCCAGGCCATAATAATCTTGTTTCTTTACTGATTCTGTTGCATGTTCCCAAAGGGCATTGACTACATCTGCCTTGTCATGTAACAATTCACCACCCAGTGCTGCAGATCCTGCCAATCTGTCTGCCTGTTCATTACCCACTACACTGGTATGGCCTGGAGAAAAGATCCAAAGTATGCTCACTACCCGTGACCTTCCCAGTGAAGCTTGCCACTCTGCTCGAAGCATCCCTGTCTTCACCTTCCTCAGCATGCTTTCAGAGTCTGTTACAATTACGACATGTGTATGCATCTTGTTCTGTAGCCACCGGAGAGTTGCAACCTTTTTGGGTTGACAGTATATGCACTACTGGGAGATAAAAGATAGAAAAGGTTTTGAAGATATGTGAAGGTGTTGGCACATTTATTAGTGTATATGAGCTATTGGGAGATAAAAGACAAACACAGTTATCACATTATATATTACAGTATGTGCACCACTGGGAGATAAAAGATAGAAACAGTTTTGAAGATATGTGAAGGTGTTGGCACATTTATTAGTGCATATGAGCTATTGGGAGATAAAAGAAAAACAGTTTTGAAGATATTTTTGAAGGTGTTGATGCATTTATTAACATATCCTCAACATGAGCAGCTTGTTAACTTTTGTATATCCCTTTCTTGGGGGGTAACCTCACACAGGTTCTGGGACCAAAAATCACCAGTCTCAAGCCTTACGACCCAACTCAGGAACCCATATTTCCTCCAGATTTGAAGGTAGAATCTTTATTCTTCTTACTTTTGATATCATTCATAGTTTGATTTGGATTTTTTAAAATCTAGAAACCATGAGTTGTTAACCCTTTGGCTGGGTACTTTAGATATCGCAACCCTTCAGTCTTGATTTCATGATAGATACCGTAAATCTGGGAGAAATGTGGCTTTTCTGCCTACCCCTTGTAACTCGATCACAATGAGTTCGTCACCCAGTCACTGCGCAGTCAGATTTAACCAAGTGAGCTAGTGAGCCGGGCAAATAGCTCCATTAACCCTACCCCCTCCCCCAACCCCCTCCTTCCTAGATGACAAGGATTTCTCATCACATCCACAGACCACAGAAGTTCTGGCAAGGATCCAGATGTGTGTGTGTGTATCACATTATATTATCATATCACATTGTATTATCACATACATATTACATTATATGTATCACATATATATCACATTATGTGTGTCATTATATGTATCACATTGGTTCATGCAATAAATGTGTTTGTAGGTAGGTTTTCCTTTTTTTCTCCTTCTGCATTCACCTGTGAAAGAGTGGTTGGCATTTTGTCTTGTAACTTACAGCTAGGCTGCAATATCTGTGCTTTGCAGCCCAACACATTCCATTTAAGAAAACTCCCAATTAGTCGTTTGTTTACAGTATGCTTGTTTGTGGCATGGAGTCTAATACCCCCCTTCTCCCCCCTTCCAGAATGGGGCCTCAGACCCCACACTGTGAGTTTTCTTATTTGAAACCTCAACCCAGAGAAGCAGTCTATTCCATGAACAGACTTCAGAAAATAGCAACAGGTGGTATTCGCTCTGAATGGGTAGAAAGCATGAACAAATCGCTCTTAAACTCCTTTACCTGGATCTACACACCTGGTCATGCTGGCGTAAAGAGTAATAAAAAAGCGGACCAACTAGCAGGCAATGCACGAACGCATATATGAAGAAGCATTTAAGCAGTGTGTATTTAAAAGCACATAGGGCCTCCTGATTTGTGTCCTTTGTACAGTGTATTTTTAGTGACTGTATTTTCTTTTCTAAATATTGCCACTCCTATTTTCGTAATCACCATCTATGGAATTACTGCAAGAAATACTGCTAAAGAGTCTCTTATTTTGGGTACTGTTTTCCACATTACAGCTCTTTTCACAATCAATTTAACTGGTTAAATTGCATATCTGGAATGAAATGATAAATTGTTGAACAACCACATTCGAATACCTGCCATCGTTAAGGAACATGTGTTCAACCAAAAATTCTCCTTCCTCAATAGTTAACACCATTATAGCTAACATCAGTTACTAAAACACCTGTATATAGCAGTGATATTCTAAACTAATAGTTACATGGTGCTTGAAACATGACGGAATACACTAATTTAATTGCAGTGTGCAAAAAATTGATTTCAAAAAGTCTACAATCATTAAGCATACACCCTGTTCAAGATGAAAGACAGAAGAAGAAGAAGAAGTATCAAAACTGCTTCTTTTAAAATATACAGCACCCTTTTCCCCAATTTCAGGCGTATTGGGCATATATGGCTAGACCTATATTTTATATATATAATATTGGGCACTCGGTGGGTGATGTTATCAACATCATACCCACCACTTTGACTTTCCAGGACTATACCAGGTACATGTTTTAGGCTGGGAGCCAAAGTACTTTTTAAAAATTAAATTCGGCTCCATCAGGACTTGAACCCACGACCTTCGATCTAACAGGTGAATGTCTAGCTGCAACACCACTGTGTCTCCCTTTAAAAGTGTACAGATTTTTAAAACATGCTGTATTTTGTTGCAGGTGAATTACTGGAAGTTTCATGGAAGTTCTCACACATTCATTGGTCCCAATGTTATGTGGATACAGCCCTCAACTTTGACTGAATTGGTTGAGCTGAAAGCCAGATACCCCAGTGCTAAACTTGTGGCTGGAAATACAGAAATAGGTTTGTACTTCTCTTGTTTTGTTTTGCCCTTTATTCCCCAGTGGTGCATTAACTCTCATCCAACTAGCATTGAATTTTCCCGTGCCTTTATGTGCAGCTCACCTCATGTCTTCGCCATCTTTTTGTTTATTAAAACACATCTTTTGGGGGTCCACCTTATTAATTCTCTTCTTTGTGTGTATTGTTTTTTTAGTCGGCCAAATTTCCTTGGCGTTGTGAGTTCCATATTTTATCAGTGTCTATACTCTGCCTCTCTCTGTCTCTCTGTGTCTCTCTCTCTTACTCACACACGCACGCTCGCACGCTCACTACACTAGTTGAGAGAATTAGCATCGATGGCACACCAAGAGGAAGACCGGTTTACGCACATACATTTTTTTTGGGGGTGCTGATTTATCAGTTGTGTCGACGTGGCCTAAAAGGTATTCTCTTACAGAGATCAACTCAGGGGCTAACAAATCTGTTAATCTATGTTACCTTGTTTAAACTTGTGCCTGACATTCACTCCTGCCTGTGGTTACTGATACACAGCGAACTTTGCCTCTCAACTTGAAGTAACAACAGCTGCCCTCGTCTGCTCGGCCATTTCTCTCCGTATACGTCAGATATTTTGTCCCACTCTCCACTGTTCAGATTAACCTCAACAATCACTCAGTTTAGCCATCAGCTTCCTCCCACTGTCTCACACACAACCCCTCTTCCTTCTTTCCTGTGTTAACTTTTTCCCTTTCTCCTTACAAGATTCTCAGCAATCATTCGCTTATTCACCTGGACTCACAATCCCACTTCGATCATACAGTTTCTTAGCTGGCTTACGGACTCTTGACCCCTTGGGAAAACTTTTTCTGACGTCTGCCTCATGTCCCTTCCAATCATTTCACCATCATGATTTACTCCATTTTTTCCCTTCTCATCTATGTGTCACTGGTCTTTCCTTTTGCAGGTGTGGAAACCAAGTTCAAGAACATGAACTATCCTGTTCTGATTTCCACAACCAACGTGCCGGAGCTCCAGTCAGTCAGTGTCAGTGAGGACGGTGTGACGATTGGTGGTGCTGTGACTTTGTCACAGTTTAACGATGAACTGAAGAAGGTTATTCTTTCATTTCCAGGTTTGTTTGTTTCATATCTGTTTCTCAGTTTTATATTAATGGTAGTCATTAGTCAGGGTTCCACCTTCACTTAAGATGGGTCACCCCATAACTGCTTCTTTCCTGGGCCAGTGGAAATCACACAAAATGTCCATCACTGTCCCATTTGAAAAACACTGTTGAAAAGCATGTAAGTCCCAGCAAAATCATGAAGCTCGCACAGGCAATGTAAATCCATAAGGCAGCCCTCAGATGCACAGCTCACTGTTGATGGAAGCAGTCGGTCATGAAAGCCAGCATTCAAACACTGTATTAATTTATGGGGTTTCAGGGCCCCATTGTGGGGCAAACAAAAATAGACCCACTGCCTCCCCAACAAACATCTCTTAAGCGTCAACTAATTAGGGGTTTCCCATAAAGTTGGAGTGCATCTGCCTGATAGGCAAGGAACCAACAGTCTGCATACAAAAAAAGACAGATCTGTAAAACAGATGTGCATGCAAAACTCAGATTCTGGAACTAGTATAAGCCCAGAGGTGGAAGGAAAACCAGAACTTTCCGCTGGAGTTTCTTGAGTTTACACCTTATGAATGCAAAGAAGAGGAAGAATGTGTGCATGTGAAATGTGAACAGGAAACAAAGAGGCTTATCTTGACCTCTCCACGTCAGTGATAATGTTGACACATATGGTAATGATGATGCTGGTTGTGCAAATGATGATTTTGGCTGTGAGAATGATTGTGACTGTGAAAATGATGATTTTGGCTGTGAGAATGATGATACTGGTTCTAGTAATGATGATGTTGGCTTTGATAATGTTGTTGAGGATGTTGGCTGTGATAATATTGTTGATGATGTTGGTTGTGATAATGTTGTTGATGATGATGGCTGTGATAATACTGTTGAGGATTGTGGTTGTGATAAGGCTCTTGATAAAGCTGGTTGTGTAATGTTGTTGGTGATGATGGTTGTGACAGTGCTGTTAATGATGGTGGTTTGATAACATTGTTAATGTTGGTTGTGATGATGCTCTTGATAATGTTGCCTGTGATAATGTGGTTGAAGATTGGGACTGTTATGATATTGTTGATGTTGGTAGGGTAATGATAATGCTGGTGGTGTCAATATTGGTGATAATGTTGCCTGTAATAATGTGGTTGATAATTGGGACTGTTATGATATTGTTGATGTTGGTAGGGTAATGATAATGCTGGTGGTGTTAATATTGGTGATATAATGTTGCCTGTAATAATGTGGTTGATGATTGGGACTGTTATGATATTGTTGATGTTGGTAGGGTAATGATAATGCTGGTGGTGTTAATATTGGTGATAATGTTGCCTGTAATAATGTGGTTGATGATTGGGACTGTTATGATATTGTTGATGTTGGTAGGGTAATGATAATGCTGGTGGTGTTAATATTTGTGATAATGTTGGCTGTGAAAATGATGATTTTAGTTGTCATAATGATTATGTTAATTCTGATATGATGATATTGGTGGTTCTGGTAGTAAAAGAAAGAATTGGAGTGCTGAAGCTGTTCTGATGCTCTGGTTGAAGCGAAAAAAGCCATCTCCCTCAGGTCTTTATTATTCATGCTCTTTATTTTGGCATACCTGACTCTGTCTGGCCCCGGCACAGTGTCTTTTGCTTTTTGCTATGTATATTTTATATCCTCCACCTTAATGATATCCTGAAAATAATTATCATGTATAGTATTAGACAGATTATCTCTAACTGAATTTCGAAGTTCCCTATCATTTTAATCAGTTTGGGCTTAAAAAAAATGCTTCCCCTTTCTCTTTGTCGGTTGTCATATCAGTGTATATCATGCCTGTTGTGATAGGCCGATCCTTCCTTTCCTTTGCATCTGTTAATTTTCGAAAATCTACCCAGTGATTGATCCCCTCCAATTTACCTCATGAAATATTTCCATTTAGCTTTTTTTTTTGCATCTGCTGCACACCGCTTAAACTCTTTTATTTTTTCTTTTCCAACTCTTTCTAACTTTTCTACATCCTCTTGTAACCTGTGAGGTGTCTTTCACACTTTCTGTAATTGTTTAACTGCTTCTGGCTTTGTTCTCCATGCCTGTTCTACTACTTGGGTCCACCGTGGAGGCTGCACAAAAGCAGAGGTGGTAGTTCTGCCGCATACCTTCTGTCAAAGGTCATCAAGAAGGGTACTGGCCCTCTCATACTTAAAAGTCTTGCGCGTTTTCACAACCTTAATCTTGCTAGCTTTAGAAATCAAGACTGATCATAGCATATGGTCACTCCCGTGATCACCTCGGACACTCCATTTGTTCCCAGCACTGCTGACTGGGTAACAAATGCCAAATCAATAGCCATGTCTGCATCACTAGGTCTCATTATGATTCTGGTTGGCCTACCGTCATTGATAAAGACTACATCTGCATCTACCATAGCCTCTGCTAAAGCATTGCCTTGTCTGTTTTCCCCAGTACTGTCCTATGCTCTGTTCCGTGCATTGAAATCCCCACAAATGAGAAGCCTATTCCCAGGGATTTCCTCCAGTTCTTTGAGACAGTCCCAATGTTCCATTGTGACAAGAAAATCAACAGCAGCATAAACATTTACTAACAGACAGAACAAAATAAGTAAAGGACCCTTTACCCCCTCGCCTGTAGGCATGTTGGGCATACAGGGCTTTTTTTTTTTTTAACGTATTCAGAAGCCATGAGTTGTAAACCCTTTGGCTCGGTACTATGGATATCGCAACCCTTCGGCCTTGATTCCATTATAGGTACTGTAAATCTGGGAGAAATGTGGCTTTTCTGCCTACCCCCGGGAGTGAACCCGGACCACAAGGAGTTCGTCACCCGGCCGCCGCGAAAGTCAGGTTTAACCAACATCGCTAGAAAGCCGGGCGTCATACAGGGCTAAACCTGTATTTGTTATAGACCACTCGGGAGGTGATGTGGTTAATATCACGCTGGCCACCTATGCTTTCCAGGACTTTACCTGGTAACCAGTTAAGACTAGGTTGATATGGGAGCCAAGGTCAGTTTAAATACAGGCAGTAAAAATTTTTTTTTTTAAATTCTGCATTAGTTGTTCATATTATTTTTTTGGAAACAGAACACAAAACCAGAGTCATTTCTTCTATAGTGGAGATGTTACAGTGGTTTGCTGGTCACCAGATCAGGAATGTGGCTGTGAGTATACCACATTCATTCATTGTCATAATGTGCCATTTTATTTCACTTCTGACTTGCAGTTTATTTCTCCATTCCATTGTATCCTGTGCAATACTTTTGGTAACATGGATAAAATTTGGTCCAGCAGCTTTGGCTTCTTTCATCAACCTTCGATTTAGTGTTTCTCTTGTACGTCCTCGCTTCCTTTGTCTACCTGTTTCCTATTTCGGGGGCCTGTTTGGTGAATCTCTGTTAATCTTTTCTCAGAGTTTCAGCGCAGTTGTCTTTTCACTGTTGATACTAGTCGTTGCCGGATCGGAAGGTCGTGGGTTCGCTCCCTGGCGGAGACCGACTTTTCTTCAAAAATGACCTTGGCTCCCAGGTCGACCTAGCCTTGAGTGGATACCGGGTGCAATCCCGGGAAGTAGAGGCGGCCGGTGTGATGCTGACCACATCACCCATCTTGTGCCGTTGGTCTATAAAAATATAGGTCTAGCCCTATATGCCCTATACGCCTAAAGGCGTGGAAAGGGTCCTTTACTTTTTTGTTTACTTACTAGTCGTTGCCCAAACATGTCTAATTTCTTTTCACCTACTGGATTCATTCGTCCCCACAATGTGCCTGTTAGACAGGACCACAAACACATGAGCACATTCTGCAGACCTGCCCACTCTACATACATCATTGTAAAGACACCTGGCCTCAACAGCAAAGTGTGCAGAGCAAGCTATGGGGAACCATGAAGGACCTTCTACTGACCTGCGAGTTCATAGAGGCAACCCATCTGATGATCTGATCTGAGCATAGGAAACAGAACGCAAAGAAGAAGAAGAAGGATTCATTCCATTTTATGATTCTCATTTTCTTAATTGACTGTGTCAATTAGCATACCATGTGCTAATTGACTGTGTCATGTTACTGCATACCATGTGTTAATTGAGTGTTTCATGTTACTGCATACCATGTGTTAATTGAGTGTTTCATGTTACTGCATACCATGTGTTAATTGACTGTTTCATGTTACTGCATACCATGTGCTAATTGACTGTTTCATGTTACTGCATACCATGTGCTAATTGACTGTTTCATGTTACTGCATACCATGTACTAATTGACTGTGTCAGTGTTACTGCATACCATGTGCTAATTGACTGTGTCAGTGTTACTGCATACCATGTGCTAATTGACTGTGTCAGTGTTACTGCATACCATGTGCTAATTGACTGTGTCAGTGTTACTGCATAGTAAAGTAAAGTAAAGATCCCTTTTCACGCTTTTCGGCGCATCGGGCATATGGGCAGAGCGTCCCATATTTTTTTACAGACCAATCAGCACTCGGTGGGTAATGTGGTCAGCATTACGCCGGCCGTCTTTACTTCCCCAGGACAGCCATCCTGGTACCCATTTGAGGCTGGGTCGAGCTGCGACGTCCCATTACTGCATACTATGTGCTAATTGATTGTGTTAGTGTTTCCTTAAAACCGGATGCAGAAATGATGAGGTTAAAGTCGAGAGGATCGACTTCGTTGCACAGGTTTTTGTCCCATATAGCTCGGTTTCTTTCCATAGAACGCTAGCCGCCTGCCGAGAGTACTGCACAAAGCATGAACTCCTTAGCTCCAGTGGCGATTCCCAGGAATTCCATAAGAATTGTACTCGTGAACTGAATGGCGCATTTGTGAACTGAATGGCGCACTTGTGAACTGAATGGCGCACTCATGAACTGAATGGCACACTCATGAACTGAATGGCGCACTCATGAACTGAATGGCGCACTCATGAACTGAATGGCACACTCATGAACTGAATGGCGCACTCATGAACTGAATGGCGCACTCGTGAACTGAATAGCGCACTCATGAACTGAATGGCGCACCCATGAACTGAATGGCTCACCCATGAACTGAATGGCGCACTCGTGAACTGAATGGCGCACTCATGAACTGAATGGTGCACTCATGAACTGAATGGCGCACTCATGAACTGAATGGCGCACTTGTGAACTGAATGGCGCACTCATGAACTGAACAGAGCAGCCGTGAAATGAATCCTGACCTTCAGAGCGTGAAGCTAAAGGCTTGACCACTTCACCACAGAGACCCCCAAAGAGGGAGAAGTGCTAAAACATGTGAGATGGTGTACCAGGGCTCATACTTGTCAAGACATATCTAAAACCCTCCGCTGTCATCCTAGGAGTATTTTCCTAAGATCTGTAACATGGATGTATGTGCAGCACAAAGGTCCTGAAACAGCCAGAACTTTCAGCTAGAGTTTCAGAATTTAAACTCTACGCTTGCTGCTGAAAATGGGGACGGAGCGCTTATGGGGTGTCCCGAGTGATGTGATGTTGTTTCTTAATTCAACATTAGCTGGATTTTACAGCTTGTAAATGAAGAAGAATAAGAAGTAAAGAAAAATGTGGGTTTTTTCAGTCGTAGTGAAATCACTGACTATGAGCTGATAAAGTTTACACTTACAGATACACCTTCTTTGACTTGCTCTTAAGCATTTACAGAGGGATTAGACATAGACAATGTATTTTGGGGAGCTCGTGATAATGAGGATTGGACTTGGGAACTTGATGACAACTGTCAAGTTTGATGGAAAGAGAACAAGGAGAAAGCACAGAGAAAAATACCTGGATGTCTTAAAATGTTGAATGTTGAATTAAGAATCAACATCACAGCACTCAGGACACTCCCATAAGTGCTCAGTCCCCATCTTCAGTAGCAAGCGAACAGTTCCCATTCCGATGGTACCAGTAACCGTCCGATTGTATATTTCCCCTGAGTGTTGAGCGTCGGCCAGATCCCCTGGTAACTCCTCACAGCGCCATTCTCTTTAGACCGTAATGATCTCTTTTGCGCCTCTGCACTGTTTACTCGCTCCCAAAGGGCCCTCGTAATATCTAACTTGTCATACATCAGTTCACCACCAAGTGGTGCAGAGCCAGCCAGTCTATCTGCCTGCTCATTTCCCAACACACTGGCATCACCTGGAGAAAATATTTAAAGGATGTCTTAGCCATATAGAGACAAAACCACTGACCCAGTCCGTGCTTCTGGTGATTGTGTGAGATAGCGAAACATTACAGCCTATCCGCATGGCACATGATGATGATGATTTACAGATCAGAGATTGTTTTGCACATTGATGTATTTGTCCTTCTGTACTTGTGAAGTCACCATGGCATAGTGGCTAGACGACTGTATGTGGATCAGAAGGTCACGAGTTCGCTCCCTGGTGGAGCTGGACTTTTTTCAGAAGTGACCTTGACTCCTAGGTCGACCCAGCCTTGAGTGGGTACCGGGTGCAGTCACAGGAAGTAAAGGTGGCCAGGCGGGATGCTGACCACATCTCCCATCTTGCGCCGATTGGTCTATAAAAATATAGGTCTAGCCCTACATGCCCTGTACGCCTAAAGGCGTGGAAAAGGGACCTTTACTTTACTTACTTGTGATATTGTCATTGCTTTGTGGATGTATCCTGTTTACCAACCTATTTATACTTGTTTTTTGCCCTATTATATTCTTAAAAAAATGTGAACACTTGCTTATATCCTAGTTTAAAACTGGATTTAGAACATGCCAGTGCATTTATCTTTTCTTCAGTCAGTTAGTGGAAACATCATGACTGCCAGTCCCATATCAGATCTGAACCCACTCTTTCTGGCAGCCGAAGCCACAGTTTGTGTCCAGTCGCAAGGTCAGCATTTTGTTGTGTGTTTGAATGAATGTTGCATGTGTAAGTTATCAGTTCATATGTATTGATTCATGTGTATTGATTCATATGTATGGATTCATATGTATGGAATCATCTGTATGGATTCATTTGTATGGATTCATATGAATTGATTCATATGTATTGATTCATATGTATTGATTCATACATATGGATTCAAATGTGTGGATTCCTATGTGTGGATTCATATGTATGGATTCATATGTATGGATTCATATGTATGGATTCATATGTATGGATTCATATGTGTGGATTCATATGTATGGATTTATATGTATGGATTCATATTGATGTATTCATATGTATGGATTCATATGTATTCATATGTATGAATTCATATGCTTGATTCATTTGTGTGGATTCATATGTATGGATTCATATGTATGGATTCATATGTGTGGATTCCTATGTGTGGATTATATGTATTGATTCATATGTATTGATTCATATGTATGGATTCATATGTATGGATTCATATGTATGGATTCTTATGTGTGGATTCATATGTATGGTTTTATATGTATGGATTCATATGTATGGATTTATATGTATGGATTCATATGTATGGATTCATATGTATGGATTCATATGTATTGATTCTTACGAATGGATTCATATGTATGTATTTTTATGTATTGATTCATATGTATGGATTCATTTGTATTGATCCATATGCTTGATTCATATGTATGGATTTATATATATGGATTCATATGTATATGCTTCAGTTATTACTCTTTCCAGTCCGCCATGGGCTTTGACATGACCAAAATATGACAGTTTCTGACATGAGATGCTGTTGACTAGCCAATCTTCCTAAATGCTCAGCTCTTTTAGTCTGTCAGAATTTCTATTCTTCAGTGGTGACATAGTCTTCATATTTATGAACAAATGTTTGTTCAGTTTGTACATTTCTACAGGAAATCTTGTTTAAGTAGTTGGGAATGAAAACAACAACAAAATTGATGATGATGATGATGCTGATAATGCTGCTGCTGCTGCTGATGATGATGCTTACAGTATTTTTTAAATAGCTGTATGAAAAAGCTAGTGATTTTAGAATGTATATTTGTTTTCAGAGCGTGGTAGGAGATTGGTGAAAATTGACAAAAGTTTCTTCTGTGGCTACAGAAAGACAGCAGTGGCCAGCGATGAAGTGTTGCTGTCTGTTATAATCCCATTTACCCGGAAGGTCAGTTGATTGGTTTGTTGGTCAGTTAGTTGGTTATTGAGATAATTCTGGCAAATTTAAGTAGTAAATCTGATTTATTAAATTTCAGGTCATCTGATTCTTGAAAAATAAAAGGGCTGTTTATTTGATACATAGACTTTTTGCTTAGTCAGAATAATTACCTTTTTGCTTGCGAATATTAAAAATAATGAGTCATGAACCTATGGGAAGTTTGAAGAACAAAAAAACTCTGTAAAAAAAATATAAAATTTATATAAATATTTTTTACACAAGCAATTTTTGTTTTTTAAATCAACATTTTTTTTTTAATTGTTGTTTTTAAAATGTAAAAAGATATATAAAGGGAGTTATCAATAAACAAGAACAGAGGGGACCATTAAATATAATGTATTCCTATGGGGCTAAAACAAACATGTTTCTGGTGACTCATGTAGTGACCCCCTGACTATCAATGAGGCTTACGGGAAAATTTTAAGTCAGTCTGGCTTTTAAAAATATTGGATTTGTAAGAAATCTCTCTACCGGCTATATATAGTTAATAGGTGGTAACTTTAAATGAAAACCTTAAAAATGTGATAAGAATTACAATAACCATGCCACTGTCTTGTAACCTGTGAGTATTGTTGTTAAGGATGTCAAAAGTGTTAAGCATGTGACCTCAGACAAAAATGGTGATATAATGACATTGTAAGGATGGCAGCTTCACTTTTGATATGCACCAAAGAGGAGCAACATTGTTATCCATGTTTTTATCACTGAAGGGGTGAAACCTGTAGAAATTCATCAGTGAATTATTATGGTGATGCCTGCCTGACAGTCCATCAAGTGTATGAGTGGAATAGCAAGTTTCAAAATGGCGGTGACTTCTGTGACAGACTGTTGATGACTGGGCCCGGCACACCAAGTAGTGCCGGTTGCAGAAGTCACTCCAGAACTTTCTGCCAGAGTTGATAGACGGTGAATGCAAAGAGAAAAGATGTTGGATAGTTTGACATCATGTCATGCAGGATCATCTATGTCAGTGCTGATTGAAAGTACACAGGAGAGAAGGTTGTGGATAGGCATGACTACCAATGCCAAACAACATGGACTTTATAAAGAAGAAGAAGAAGAAGAAGAAGCAGAATGACTTTAAAGTTGATTCTGTTTTGAGTTTGAGTTAACAACAACCAGGGACAAAAAAGAGTCAAAATTTGTATGCTGAAGGCAATCCTACTCATTTCAGAATGAATACTTTGCTGGGTACAAACAAGCGAACAGGAAAGAAGATGACATCTCACTAGTTACTGCAGGCATGAAAGTGGCCGTCTCAAAGGTCAACACCATTAACAAGGTCATCTTGGCTTTTGGAGGCATGGGAGTGACGACACTGCTGGCAAACACAACCATGGAGAGTATCGTTGGAGAGTAAGTCAAACAGTCAGTCAGGCTTGCCTGATTGAGTCTGTGGTTGAATGGTTGAATTGTTTGATTGATTGATTTGTTGATTCATTAGTTGATTGATACTTTCAGTTCTTCCTCCTCTTCTTTTGTCATCATACTATAAGTGGGTTGTATCACAGGAAAAAAAATATGAACTTCAGAGAAAACCTTCTCCTCCTCCTTCTTCGCGTCCATCAGCTGTAAACTCCGGTGCAGACGTTCTGGTTGTTAGTCGACTTCTACACTTTGAACTTGTTCCAGAACTTGACTTTATCATGCACATCCATTTTTTAAAATATTTTTTTAACAGATCTGACTTAATTGTACTCTTACTTAGAAGGTACATCCCTAATTTATTGAATTTTACAACATGCTAACTGGGGGAGGGGGGGGGCAGTGGGTTCCCCCCCCCCCCTCCCCAAATGGGGCCCTAGAACCCAGGCATGGAGTTACTGGAATTAAAACCTATGGCCCTGTTTACGTTTCCCGGCTTGTTTACACACTGTCTGACTTTTCATTCATAATTTCTTGGATACGTCTATGTGGAAGGGGTGTCACGTTGTCTTGTCTCCTCTTCAATTATATCAGTGCTGATGTCACATGTTCTATACTACACGACGACACAGCTTTCAACAAGCCCAGAATATCTGGAACTGGTCTAACACCCCCCCCCCCCCTCATCCCCAGCCTGAGCCTAGGTCCCACGAGAGACTCGTTTTTAAGAAAGCAGTACAACCTGACACCTTCTGACCTAGATCAGACTGAGAAAGTGTAGATGGGCCGGGAAACGTGAACAGGTTCGAATCTCCGTTGCTATGTTTGAAGATAATTACCCCACCAGGACGACATCACACAAGTGATAAACACCCGGTGACACAAAGTGCCACCATGCGGTTGAGGATCACCCATGGAGAGGCCCCAGAAGCCCTTTTTAGCCGTTAGGCCCTATCTATGTCTAGGCCATATCTATGACCCGGCTATATTCAGGGCCCCCGACAGAAGCCAGGGTGGGGCTTCAAATAACATACAATTGCATCCCACATGGGGACGACTTCTTTCTTATTAGAAGACAGGCTGTTGACTGACTTTCTACCCCACCAGGACATCACACAAGCGATAAACACCTGATGACACAATGTGCCACCATGTGGATGAGGATCACGGTGGAGAGGTCCCAGAAACCGCATTCAGCCATTAGGTCCTATTTATGGCCAGGTTATATTGCGACCCCTGGCAAGAGCCAGAGTAGGGCTTCAAATGAAAAATTTTATTCTCAGAAGGATGGGAAGTTATATGACAAGCCTTTCAGAAAGCAGTGACAAACTACTGAAGGTAGGATTGTCTAGAAAAACCAAAACAACCCAAACATATTGTGGTTTATCCTGCAACATTCTGGAAAGACTTTCAAACTAATTGTCAACATTGTGTGAAAATAATATTATTTCTCATTATTTCTGCTTTACTACATGTTTGAATTGTCTTGCAGTGAATGGACCGATCCATTGGTAGCAAAAGTGAGTGAACTCCTGGCTGGTGACCTGCCTTTGTCGCCTGGTGCCCCAGGTGGGTTTGTGGAGTTCCGCCAAGCTTTGGCACTCAGCTTTTTCTTCAAGTTCTTTGTCACAGTCCGGCAACAGATCCTCAAGGATGAGGTCAGTTGTGTGATTTTAAGTAAATAAGAAATATTAAGTTCACACGACAGCAACATTTGGAAGGTTAGATGCTAAAGAAAACTGTTAGTTTAATCATCTGAGGCCAACTGATAAATGATATTAGATCAATTGTAGAAATGAGCCCTTATGCCAAATATTGTATGAAACAAAAGATTAGGTGGTTTGAAAATCTTTTTTCGGTTGTGTTTTTGTCTTGTTGTTGTTGAATGCAGCAGAATTACCTACACGGAAACTACATTTATCAACATCTTATACCTCCCACACCCCCCCCCCCCCCATACAAAATTTTTTTTTTTAAACAAACTGATCATTCATTCAATTTAAACAAAGTTTAAGTCATGAACCAGTGTATCTACTATGTACAGAGCATGGGTTTTATGTGACCAACATTATCTGTGAGCATCGCAAGAGCGAGATAAACACCTGGCATCAATGCGACAACCCAGACCAGGCCACACAGTTGGACTTGGTACAGAATTGACAAAAAAGAAGACAATTGGTAAAAGACGCAAGAGTAATTCATAATTCCAAACATCACATTAAATACTGACCATCGACTACTGGTTGTATCTCTGAATGAAGCTACAATCAGCAAAAAACCAAAGACAGCAATATGTGCCACAATTATAAGAAAACTAAGTGACCTAGATCCATTGTTCCTAGATTGTTCTTCTTAACCTGGGCAGGTCCTGCTAGTCACACTCGCCATTGCCATAGGCTGTGATTGCGCTGCCTCTCCCTAGCACAGTATAACACTATCATCTGGAAAGACAGAAAGTTGAACATAGTCACAGTATATAAAATTTGACATTAGATACCTCTCCTTTCTCCTTTGAACCATTTTGAATACATTGTTAAGATACCTCTCTTTTCTCTATTGAAACATTTTGACTACATTGTTAAGATACCTCTCGTTTCTCTATTGAAACATTTTGACTACATTGTTAAGGTACCTCTTGTTTCTCTATTGAAACATTTTGACTACATTGTTAAGATACCTCTTGTTTCTCTATTGAAACATTTTGACTACATTGTTAAGATACCTCTTGATTCTCCATTGAAAAATTGTGACTACATTGTTAAGATACCTCTCGTTTTTCCATTGAAACATTTTGACTACATTGTTAAGAGACCTCTCGTTTCTCCATTGAAACATTTTGACTACATTGTTAAGATACCTCTCGTTTCTCCATTGAAACATTTTGACTACATTGTTAAGATTCTTCATCAGGTTGTGAAAGACCTCAGTGCCATCCAGTCAATGGAAAAACCAGCATGCAAATCAATGCAGGTTGTTGGTGGAATGGATGCCCGACTGCGGACCCATGATGTTGTTGGCAAACCCATTGTGCACTCCTCAGCCCTACAGCAGAGTACAGGGGAGGCAGTCTACTTAGATGACATGCTGCCTGTTGAAGGTACTAGTAGTACAATATTTCTATTAGACAATTATCATGCCATAAAGTGACCAGAACAAGTCATTATTCCTTGCTTTAAAACAGGGCACAGTCGACTTCGCAACCACAGGTACACACAATTTAAAACTGGCGAATCAGCCATGTGTACCTGTGGATTGGCATCTGAGACAACAGATCATGTCCTCCAAGACTGTCCTAAATACAACGTATCAAGGCAAAACAAACAGCCTGTCAGGCAGATGCACTCTATTTTGAAGAAAAAATAAAGCCTAATTAGTCAACTCCTATGACTTGCTTGTGGGGTGGAGGGTTGGGGTGGGGGTGGGGGGGGGGGCGCATTTAGTGTGTATTTGTCCTCCAAAATTGAGTCCAGGAACTCACATGAGGATGGTTGATTTTAATTGTATATAAATAATTTCCTGTAAAACGTATAATGTAAAACAGCTATAACTACTCAGCGAGAGTATCCCCCAATAATTAGTATGTTTACTTATGGACCTTAACTCTTTGAGTCCCATCATACGTTCATAGGTTACTGTCTAGAAGCCCAATGAACGCATGATGTGCTGATTTTACATCTCTTTTGACTATCCCTTGGGCCTGTGATGCTAAACCCTCTGGGACTCAAAGAGTTAACAGCTTGACTCAGGGGGAAAAAAAGATACAAGCACTGGAATTGAGATCTTTCAGAAAAATTCTTGGCATATAGTACAGAGATCCCATCACAAATGATCAGGTTGGCTGTATAATTACCCAGCATATTGGCAACTATGAATCTGTTTAACTACAGTGAAGAGATGGATAATGCAATGGTATGGACATGTAATAAGATCTATCAGCCTCTCAGAAACAATATTGCAGGGCTCAGAGGGGAAGAGGAGAAGAGGGACTCCAAGAATGACCTGAATACAGAACCTGACTGACTGGACACACCTTAGGCATGCAACCAACACATCTGACTGTCAAAGGTTGAGGGAACTAATCAGACAGTCAACAGCAACTGGTAACCCATCTAGGCGCAGTGTTACAAGATGGTGATGATAGATAATTAAATTATGTTTATATAGTGTTATATTATTACTTTTCTCTTGATGTCGTCCTTCAGGTGAACTCCACATGGCTTTGGTGACCAGTACTCATCCTTATGCAGACATTCTCAGCATTGACCCATCCCGTGCCCTGTCTACTCCTGGTGCTGTAGACTTTGTATCGGCCACAGATGTGCCAGGTGTGAACTCTCTTGGGATTTATATGGATACTGTATTTGCTACCAAAGAAGTAGGTTAAACATTCACGTGATTATATCATTGATGTTTTATTTTGTTAGAAAGCATATTCGTAATAAGTCGTCCACAGCTGTTTTGTTAGAAATCTTAATCGTAATAAGTCGTCCACAGCTCTCAGTCTTCAGTAGTTATCTCACCTCCTGCCAACTGGCATAGGTTTCAGGCATCTCAACAGATCTCAGTCCCTTGTCCTCTGGATCATTTCTACCAATACCAATGATATCCATTAGTACCACCGTCATGGCAGTGACGCAAGCGTTTGCCTGGCTTGAAACACAAAAATACACCCGTGTATGTATACTCAGTGATTCAATGAGTATGATCCGGAGGGTTCAGGCAGGTTCAGTGCGAAGACAATGGCTTGAATCATTACAGAAGTCCACTGTGCGTGGAGTCACCTTTATTTTTGTTCCGGGATACGCAGGCGTCGATGGAAATGAAAGAGCTGACAGGTTGGCTGGATCCGCTGTCAATACCGACGGTCAGCCTATGGATCATGCTGATATTATCAATGCCCTCAGAGAAATGGGAAGGAAAGAGAACTTTGGTGGCAGTGAATCCACATCACTCGCCAGAATGGCAGACTTGGGAATTAAGATCGGCACAGCAAAAAACGAGACGCACACCAGACATGCCAGAAGACTTGTCAATCAACATAGAACTGGTACTATTAGCCATTGGACGTTGGGGTTCATACTGAGGGAAGGATCTGAGCACCTATGGACATGTCCGGAGTGCAATGAGGATAACCCAACTAACTAACTAACTAACTAACTAAGTACCACCGTCGCACTCCATCCGTGATCCTCTGTCTCAGTCTGCCTCTCCATCTTCGACCGTTGATCTTCCCAGTTGTCACAATATTCTCTGAATCCTTCCCCTCAGAACAATGCTTGTCTTTTCCTTATAGCTGTATATATTGATCTGTTTTCATTAGCCTCCTTCAGGCAATCCTCGTTTGTTACTCTGGCAGTCCGAGGGAGTCCTAACATTCGTCTAAGAAACCACATCTCCAGCGCCTTCAGGTTCTTTCTAATTTGTGCATTCATTTACTTTCCATGATTCACTACCATACAGCAATATAGGCTCTACATAACATTTTAGTACTCTCTTTCAGACATCCAAAGAGAGGGACCTATTGCAGACAATGTTCTTCATTCTAGGAAATGCAGCCTTAGCCTGGGCCTATTCTGCTCCTATTTTCTGACACATATTCATAGTATGTTTATTATTTTATCATGGAAAATAGATGGTTATACTATTTAAAAAAAAAATTAATTCTAAACATTTTTCATCATCGTGTACATCATCTCCCCTTGTGAGTTCCTGGGCCCCATTGTGGTGAAAACAAGAATAGACTCCCTAACTAGCATGTCGTAGGAGTTGACTAACTGGGGGGCTTCCTTTGAAGTCAGAGTGCATCTTTCTGAGAGGCAAGGAACCAACAGTATGCATACAGATAAGCTAGATCTATAAAACGGATGTGCGCGCAACACTCAGATACGGGGACAAGACTAAAGTCCAGAGGTAGACGAGCAGCCAAACATTTCTGCCAGAATTTACATCGGTGAACACGAAGAAGAAAAAGATGAAGTTACTCTCACCACGGTCTGCCTGAAGAAACTCGGTCTCTCACCAGCTCTCCTACCTCATACACTTTTCTACCCAAGGTGTCGCTTACATCCAGTGCCCATCTTTATGCTGGTCAGCACCTCTTTCCTGGTATCATTCTATTTTTAAGTTCCCACAGTTTTTTTTTGTTTTTAGCTTAAACAAAAATCATTTGAAAATCATTTTATTTCCAGAGAGAAAGATAAACACAAGGTGGGTACATAGTTAAACCTGTGAATCATCGTTACCATGTAACGGACCGTTTACAGAACATCACTTTCATCAAGGCATGTTGAAAAGTCACGTTATTCTCTGCCAAATTCTTCCAGAAATGACACCCTCTATTACTGTACTCCCTCAACTCATTATTGCTTTTAATATGGCTGAAATATTTTAATTTACGAGAAATTATACTCTTTATACTAGGTTAAGGCCTTAGTATGTGTAGGTGTAGCAGTACTATAGGCTGTTTTTGTCATCATGTTGTTAGTTCAAGATTTCTCTTGTCTGCATCCCATCACCACCCAATGACCCAACGACACGTAGTGTTACAGGATGATGATGATGATGATGACATTCCATCATTTCATCTGCTTTCTAGACTGTCCATTGTATCAACATCACCATTGTCCTGTCACACAGGGCTCAAAGTCCATTTGTCCATTCCATTCTATCCTGTGCTACCTCTATCTGTGTATCTCTTCAATATCATTCATGGAATCCAGTCCATCATTCTTGGCCTGCCTCATCATGTTCAATTTAGGTTTTCTTTCGGATATCCTCTCTTCTTCAATCCCTTTATTTCATATTTCAGTGCCCGTTTAGGGATTCTTTTTTGTGTCCAATGTAGCGCCATCTTCAGTTGAGTTGAGTTGAATTAAGAGGGCTTTTCCATATGTGCTCCATCCCCATCCTCAGCAGCCAGTGCAGAGTTCCAATACTAATGGTGCCAGTTGTGTGTCCGTCTTGCCTTGGCTCTGAGCGTAGTGTGCCGGCGGAACCCTCTGGTCACATCCAAGAGCATCATTCTTCCCAACCCAAAAATCTTCTAGTTTCGTAGTTTCTCTTCTGACTTCGTTACTTGTTCCCAAAGGGCTCTGACCACATCTGCTTTGTCATGCACCAATTCACCACACAGCGGTGCAGATCCAGCTAATCTGTCTGCCTGTTCATTCCCCACCACGCCGGCATTACCTGAAGAAGAGATCCAAAGTATGCTCACTACCCGTGACCTTGCAAGTGAAGCTTGCCACTCTGCTCACAGCAATCCTTCTTTTCAGCATACTTTCAGAGTCTGTTATAATTATGACATATGTATGTAGTGTCATCTTCATTGTCTTATGAGCGTTTTTACCAGCAGTTGCCTAGATATTTCTCCTATTTATTCACCTCTCTTGAATCCTCCCATTTTACGTTCAACATTTTCCTCAAGTATTTCTTTTAAAATGCATTTAAATTTCTTTCCATGTCTTTAATGCTTCTCCAACTTTCACTGGCAAATAAACTGACATAACATTAGAATTAAAAATACATAGCTTTGTTTTAAAACTATACTTCTTCTTTCTTCTTTGTTTACCCAGCTTCAAGTTCTAATGGAGAGTCCTGGTTGTTCATCGATTTGGACTTTGACTTTGTGCCAGGGTCTGAGTTTTGCTTGCACATCCATTTTGCTGGCTTATTTTTGCATAGTTGGTGGTTCCTTGCCGCTCGGACAGATGCACTCCGACTTCGAAGGAAGTCCCCAATTAGTCAACTCTTATGATATGCTTGTTGGGGAGGCAATGGGTCTATTCTTGTTTTCCCCCATAATGGGGTCCCACAACCCACATGGAGGAAAAACTATACAATTTAGAGCTCCATATTTTGATCAGGTTTTTAAAAGCTACTGATGCCTTTCCAGTACCTGTCATAATGTCTCTTTGTATTTCCTTGAGTGCCGAAATAAGTAAATTGATCTACTACTTCAATTCCTTATGTCTCTAGTGTTACATCTGCTTGATCTGTTATTAGTATCTTCAATATATATAGCTGTATACTCAAAAGAAGGGGGGGGGGGGGCACTCGACTAGGGTTGGAGACTATTAGTATAGACCAGTTGACACTCATTGGGAAGAGGATTAGTGGGGGGGGGGGGGGAGGTTGTGATAATGTGCACAACACACAAAATCACACCAAAAAATACTTTTTCCACTATCTTTTATTTAGCAATTTTGTTGTTGTTGTTTTTTGTGTGTGTGTGTACATGTATCATGGCAATGGATTTATTATGATTTTTATATAATTGCTTAAAAGGTAACCTGCCAGGGACAAGTGATTGGTGCCATAGTCGCACAGACCCAAGCCCTGGCTAGAAGTGCTGCCAGATTGGTTGACATTCAGTATGAAGACAAGCAGCCTGTTGTTATCACAATAGAGGTATGTTTTTTTTAATACCATCAACAGGCCATTAGACATATTTTATTCACAAACCATCAAATGAAAACGATAATTAAATTAATCAGAAAAACGCCAGACCTATCACAAGATGACTACCTTATTATGAACAGACCAGGACAGGTTATTATTCCGCATCTCAGAACAGGGCACAACCGATTGTGCAGCTACATGTACATGCAATTTTATGTAAGTGTATCAGCCATGTGCACATGTGGAAAGTTACCCCATACAGCAGAACACGTACTCCAAGACTGCACCAAATATGCCACATTAAGGCAAACCTTTTTGGCCAAAAAGAACAAGTGGAAGTTAAACTCTATGGACCACTGAATGAACTAACAACTACAGTGAATTTTAAATGAGAAACACAATTGCTGATATAGACAACTTATGCAGGCGAACGAAAGAAGAAGACATAATTTTATGTGGGTTCTACAAATGTCCAAAAGTTCAGTTTGTATTTTGTTCTCCTCATGTTGGTTCTGAGGCCCCATTTTGGGGGAATGAAAGAATAGAAGTAGAAAGCAACAGACCATTGACATAAAGATTCTAGATCACAGCCTAAAACAAGTGCAAGAATTTAAATACTTGGGAAGTATCTTTACATTCAATGGTAAAATAGACAGAGAGATCGAAGCAAGAATCCAACAAGCCAACAATGTCGCATACCAGCTTGCCCCAATTTTAAAACACCCTGCTGTCCCAGCTGAGATGAAAAGACAAATTATAAATACAATCTTTATACCGACATTAGGTTATCAATGTCAGACTTGGACATTAACAAAAGAACACGAGAGAAGACTAACCACCTGTGAAATGAGATGTTTGAGAATGGCTGCGAATAAAACCAGAAGAGATCGAGCGAGAAACGATGTGATTACAAGAACTATTGGAACCATACCCATCGTTAAATTTATCGAGAAGCAAAGAATGAAATGGTTTAGTCACCTAGTGAGAATGGAACCAACGATGCCAGCATCAAGAGCATACAACATGAAAATCGAGACACCAAGAGGCAGGGGAAGACCAAGAAGAAGATGGATTGAAGGAGTCACGGACAACTTGAGACTTCATAACATCACGGCATATGAAGCGACTGAGCGCGCCCTGGCTCGGTTGCCGAACATCTGATAGACTGCGACGCCTAGCGGCACAAGCAGATTTTGACAAAAGAAGAAGAAAGAATAGAACCACTGACCCCCCCCCCCCCCCCCTTCCAACCACCATAACATGCATACCATTAAGGGCTACTAATTTGGAGTCTACTGTGTTGAAATGAAAGGTACAGAAGTTGCAGCCTGGCTGTAAACCCCAACACAACATGCCAACCAACCTTTTCAGGGTCAATACAATAGAAGAAGATTGTGCAAATATCTGGCAGACACTCAACACTCAGGGAAATGTGTAGATGGACAAACAGTCATGCTGCCACTGGTACCATGGCTGCTGAAGATGGGGACGGAGCTCTTATTGGAATTCCCAAGTGCTATGATAACAGTTCTTAAATGAACTGAACTCAGTCATTGCAAAATAGTGACTTATTTGGATAATTTCCATGTTGAAGAGAAACAAAGCAGATTTATGACAGATAAATACTTTAGTAAAGTATGAGGAAAGGAAATGTCACCTCACATAGAAGTGTGAATTACAGGTGTCTATCATACCAGTGTCTGTTTCATATGTGGACAGAGAAAATATTCAGACAGAAAGAAGACCAGGACACTGGTATTTGGTGGAAGATGAACAAATAAACAGTATGTGATACATTAATGATATGGTTATTTTCAGTGAAAAACAACATAGGATACGCAATGATATTATTACTCTAACTGGCGGAAAATAAAACGGAAGCTTCCTAAAATTTTTAATCATGTACCAAAATTTGGGGGGAAAAAAGGCTTTGACTTAAGTATAGTTTTTGTAATATCAGCTGAGTTTTGGGAAACAAACAGGCAGTCAGACTGACTGGTTCGGCATAACTTGGTGGTAATTGATACATCATAAGCTAGACGTTATAAGGAATTTTTGGAAGCGAGTGAACTGTGCAGAGGCACAACTAGATCATTACGATCTGAGGAGAATGGTGCTGCAAGGTCAGACCAGGAGCTCTGACTGACGCTCAACACTCAAAGGAAAAGTGAGATGGATATACATGCAGATTGTTACTGGTACCATCGGAAATGGTCATTCTGCACTTGTTGCTGAAGATGGGAACAGAGCGCCTATGGGAATGTCCCAATTGTTGTGATAAGGTTAGGTTAGGACCCTTTTCCACACCTTTAGGCGTATTGGGAATATAGGGCTAGACCTATATTTTATAGACCAATCGGCACTTGATGGGTGATGTGGTCAGTACCTTGCCAATCGCCTTTACTTCCCAGGACTGCACCTGGTACCCACTCAAGGCTGGGTAAACCTAGGAGTCAAGGTCATTTTTGAAAAAAAAAATCTGGCTCCTTCAGGACGCAAATCCACGACCTTCCGATCCACAGGCGGGCATCTAGCCGCCAACGCCACGACGACTCCCAATTGTTGTGATATCATGTCTTAATTCAACATTGTAAGAAAGTTCTATTTTAGGTGACTCTTACTAAACATTATTTTATGCTTATTAAAAAAAAAACCAGGATGCCATCAGACATGAATCCTACTACAAACCGTTCCGGAAGATACAGACTGGGAATCTGGAAGCAGGATTTAGCTCCAGTCAGTACATTCTGGAGGGGGAGGCCTACGTTGGTGGACAGAATCACTTCTACATGGAGACCATGTCCACTCGAGTCTTGCCTGGAGAGAATGGAGAACTGGAAGTCTTTGCTTCAACACAGAACCCATCATCCTTCCAGGTGTGATGTTTTAGCAGTTGTCTGAGCACTGTCAGAGTGCTGTCTGAGCTTTATCTGAGTGTTGTCAGAGTGCTGTCAGAGCTCTATCTGAGTGTTGTCAGAGTGCTGTCTCAGCTCTGTCTAAGTGTTGTCAGAGTGCTGTCTCAGCTCTATCTGAGTGTTATCAGAGTGCTGTCTCAGCTCTGTCTAAGTGTTGTCAGAGTGCTGTCTCAGCTCTGTCTAAGTGTTGTCAGAGTGCTGTCTCAGCTCTATCTGAGTGTTATCAGAGTGCTGTCTCAGCTCTATCTGAGTGTTGTCAGAGTGCTGTCTCAGCTCTGTCTAAGTGTTGTCAGAGTGCTGTCTCAGCTCTATCTGAGTGTTATCAGAGTGCTGTCTCAGCTCTATCTGAGTGTTGTCAGAGTGCTGTCTCAGCTCTGTCTAAGTGTTGTCAGAGTGCTGTCTCAGCTCTATCTGAGTGTTATCAGAGTGCTGTCTCAGCTCTGTCTAAGTGTTGTCAGAGTGCTGTCTCAGCTCTGTCTAAGTGTTGTCAGAGTGCTGTCTCAGCTCTATCTGAGTGTTATCAGAGTGCTGTCTCAGCTCTATCTGAGTGTTGTCAGAGTGCTGTCTCAGCTCTGTCTAAGTGTTGTCAGAGTGCTGTCTCAGCTCTATCTGAGTGTTATCAGAGTGCTGTCTCAGCTCTATCTGAGTGCTGTCAGTGTGCTGTCTGAGCTCTGTCTGAGTGTTATCAGAGTGCTGTCTGAGCTCTATCTGAGTGTTGTCAGAGTGCTGCTGTCTGAACTCTATCTGGTCATTATCAGAGGGCTGTCTGAGCTCTATCTGAATGCTGTCAGAGTGTGATCTGAGTGCTGTAGCACTGTCTGGATGTTGCCCGAGTGCTGTTTATGTGCTCTCTGCCTTCTTGGATATGACACATTCTTTGTATCCCGCTTTCTTCCCTGAGAATGTCATAAGTTTGTGTTATCTTTTTTGTTTCTTAGATGTCTCTAAATGACTCTAAATGTTGTGTTCTCCTGTCTCTGGCTGACATGTAAATGACAGCCACTTTTTGATGTTTTCCTTTCTCTGGATGATGTTTAGATTACAGCTCCTCTGTTGTGTTCTCCTGTCTCTGGCTGACATGTAAATGACAGCCACTTTTTGATGTTTTCCTTTCTCTAGATGATGTTTAGATTACAGCTCCTCTGTTGTGTTCTCCTGTCTCTGGCTGACATGTAAATGACAGCCACTTTTTGATGTTTTCCTTTCTCTAGATGATGTTTAGATTACAGCTCCTCTGTTGTGTTCTCCTGTCTCTGGCTGACATGTAAATGACAGCCACTTTTTGATGTTTTCCTTTCTCTAGATGATGTTTAGATTACAGCTCCTCTGTTGTGTTCTCCTGTCTCTGGCTGACATGTAAATGACAGCCACTTTTTGATGTTTTCCTTTCTCTAGATGATGTTTAGATTACAGCTCCTCTGTTGTGTTCTCCTGTCTCTGGCTGACATGTAAATGACAGCCACTTTTTGATGTTTTCCTTTCTCTGGATTATTTTTTTAAAATTAAATTTTCTGTGTGGTTTTCTCTTGTCCTTGGCTGACATCTAAATGACAGCCACTTTGTGATGTTTTTATTTCTCTAGATGATGTTTAGATTTCAGCTCCTCTCTTGTGTTCTCCTGTCTCTGGCTGACATCTAAGTGACAGCCACTTTGTGATGTTTTTATTTCTCTAGATGATGTTTAGATTACAGCTCCTCTGTGGTGTTCTCCTGTCTCTGGCTGACATCTAAATGACAGCCACTTTGTGATGTTTTTATTTCTCTAGATGATTTTTAGATTACAGCTCCTCTGTGGTGTTCTCCTGTCCTTGGCTGACATGTCAATGACAGCCACTTTGTGATGTTTTCATTTCTCTGGATAATGTTTAAATTACATTTCCTGTGTGGTGTTTTCCTTTCTCTGGATAATGTTTAAATTACATTTCCTGTGTGGTGTTTTCCTTTTTCTGGATAATGTTTAACTTACATTTCCTGTGTGGTGTTTTCCTTTCTTTATATAATATGTAAATGACAGCTAATGTGTGGTGCCTCTTTGGATGACATGTAAATGACAGCCTCTGTATGGTGTCATCCATTTTCTAAATGACATTTAAGTAACTGCTACTGTGTCATGTTTTGCTTTCACTAGATGACATATCGAGAGTTTCTTTCAGGCAGACTGTGATGAGAGCGATGATCTGCAAAGGACCTGCTGCATGATGATGATGAGATGACATACAAATGACAGCCACACTGTATTGTTTTCTGTTGTCCAAATGACCTGTCTGTAGCGACCTTAACTGCACCAGCTCCTTGACCCCTTCCCCCCTTCCCCTTTCTATTCACATAATAAAAGTTAACTATATGCATGCATGTGTCATTTGTTTAACTATGCAAACAATGACAATACATAAATAATGTGCCTTTATTCCATTGAACAAGTGTTCAGACGTACAATGACATTTGATTTTCAACAAAATAAATTGATGTCTCTAGCAAAGGAAGAGGTTCACTGTATAATTACCCCACACATTGGCAACTATGAACCTGTTTTAACTACAATACAATGATGGAAAATGCGATGGTACAGACATGTAATAAGATCTAATAGCCTCTCAAAAACAAAACTACAGTGCTCAGTAAAGTAGTAGCAGCAGACCAAGAAAGACATGGATACAGAACTTGAGTGACTGGACAGGCCTTAGGCATGCAACCATGAAGTCCATACCATCTGATCATCAAAGGTGGAAGAATCTTATCAGACAGTCAGCATCAACTGGTGACCCAACGACATGCAGTGTGACAGGGCGATGATGGTGAATGATATCTGGAGCTTATGAAGGATTCTTCCTGGGTGATGTAGAAATTAACCAGTCAGCCCTCTTTATAATGCATGGACCGAGTTTTTGTGAAATCCTATAAAGGGACATTATCCTCATGGAGCAGATCATTTGTAGAATGTCGCTTTCATCAGTCAGCCTGAAAGAAACTCTACCTCTCACCAACTCTCTGACCTCGTGCACTTTCCTACCCAAGGTTTTGCTTATATCCTTTGCCCCTCTTCGTACTGGTTGACCCCTGCTCATAAAGTACACATACCTTGTTGTAAAAGTAACTATTAACAGAAGACTATTTTTACAAGTACAGAATCAGTGCTTATTGTCAGTATCTGATGTAACATTGGGGGTGACGGTGGTCTAGTGGCTAGATGCTTGCCTGCCGAAGCGGAAGGTCATGGGTTCGGGTCCTGAAAGGGGCCAGACTTTTTGCAAAAATGACCTTGGCTCCCAGGTTGACCCAGCCTTCAAGTGAGTATTAGGTACAGTCTTCGGAAATAAAGGAAGCCGGCTTGATGCTGACTACATCACCCAAGTTTTGTTAAGTCTATAAAATATAGGTCTAGCCCTATATACCCAATATGCCTAAAGGTGTGGAAAATGGTTCTTTACTTTTACTTTGCCATCTGATATAACATTGTGTTTTCTTTGCTTTGTTTTTAATCATAGATTGACTTGGCAAGAGTTCTTGGTATTCCATCCAGCAAGATTGTTGTGCGAGTGAAAAGACTGGGTAGGTTTCTGTTCATAGCAGTTGTTCACTGGAATTATGGACTAAAGACACAGACATTTATATTCAGAGAGTCTAGGTAGAACATGCTTGCCTGTTGATATGGTGATCTTAGGCTGGCCCAGTCTCAAATAGGCAGTGTGGATTTGTTCCAGGAGGTAAAGGTGATATTGTGTGATTTTGACCACATAACCAGCTGACTTTTGGTTGGTGCCTTTTGACGGTATACCATATTTGTTCATGTATAAGACGGTCTGTTTTTCCAGTATTGTTTTTAGTTTAAAATTGTGGGTCATCTTAAATACAGAATGTGTCTTAATTTGGGGCTAATAGATATAGTTTATACATGGGGCATCATATGCATGGAAAATTATGATATATTCTTCTTAATGCAAGACCTGAGCTGCCCTGTAAAGACTATGTGTCGCCCATACAGAACGATCAATTTCTTGGCCTGCCTTGTTTACTACAAAGAAAAAATAACACCAATTTATTTAAAGCAGAGCATGCTACTGATACTGCTGGATCAGAAGAGCAGTGCTCTGTCAGTCTGCCTGTTGGAGCTTCCATCCTAGACCAGTTGCCAGCCTGACCTGCTTTGCCATAACATGAGTTGTCAAGTTGCATTTCCTCTTCGGATGGCTAATACTCTCCCCCAGTGCACTCCTCCACTCATAGCCATTTGGTACAATATGGAATTTAGGTTTGATATAAATGTCTGCTACTGGTACCATCAGCATTGGAACTTTTCGCCAGCTGCTGAAGATAGGGATGAAGTGCTCATGTGATGTTCCAAGTGCTGTAATGAGTATCTTAGCTCAGCTCTAATGCATTTCCCTGTCTTCTTAGAATCCATGCCCTATAGTATTGGTATTCCAAATGTTCCCAGTCTTCTTGTTCCCGGTATGTCATTTATGAAACAGATTCTCTTCCATGCCATGATGCCAAACCATTACCCTAATCAGGGTTTTCTTGTAGAAAAAAAAATTAGAGGTGCCGGTACTCAGTACCGTTGCATGCCACCAGAAAATAGCCCACACCCCAATATCTCAGAGAAATACACAATATTAGTTCTTCTTTCATACTGTATATTCACTGGTTAGTAGTGATCTCAAATCTAGTAACCTATTGCCCCCGATGTGAATAATCACATAGTGGGTACCATATTTACGCGTGTATATGCTGCCCATGTATATCAACTGAACCCTATTTCTGAGACAGTAATTTTAGGAACAAATAAGTTTTTTAGAATTTTGTGAAGAGACCAAACCCGAAACAGTAGTACCTGTAAGCAGTGAAAGATGGGCTGTGTAAGAGCTAGTTACAGTCGTAACATGCACTAGAAAATGAAAATTAAGCAGCTGGGCGCAGGTTCGATGTGGATGAGAACAAATGATGTGAAAATTGATTAGAATGAAAGATGCTCTTTGTGGCAAGACGGTAAAAGATGCTTGTAACGAAGCTCACTAAGCGTGACACTCCCTGCAAAATAGGACAGGCCCTGTGACACAACTAGGCATGAATAACAAGGGAAGTCACTCTCTTTTTGAGCCCAGCTTAATTATTTGAACCAGGTAAAATACCCAGAAAAAGAAATCAGTCTGCTGGAATATGTCAAGAAAATACACGCAGATAGATTTTCTGTCAATGGAAATGTAAGCTTGAAGCGCATCAATTATAATGAGAATTTAAAACCAGTTAGAGCTGGGCAATGCGCTTTATGACAAGAAACAACCTCGTGATTCAGTGGCATCAATGACCAGTATTGTTTTCATAATATATGTCCCCCGTGTGGGTTCCAGGGCCCCATTGTGGGGAAAACAGGAATAGACCCACTGCCTCCCCAAGAAGCATGTCATAAAAGTCGACTGACTGGGGGCTTCCTTTGAAGTCGCAGTGCATCTGCCTGAGAGGCAATGAACCAGCAGTCTGCATACAGATAAGTCAGATCTGTAAAACAGATGCGCACGCAAAAGTCAGGTCCTGGAACAAAGCCAAAGTCCAGAAATGGACGAACAACTAGGTCTTTGCACCATAGTTTATAGCCGGGGAATGCAAACAGTAAACAACAACATTAGATATGTTTCAAAATGGTGAATTGTTTATTAATAAATTTTGTACAGCTAACATGTAGACCTAATATCTCGAATATAAGCTGCACCATATGTTTCATCGATTTCCGGTTAAAATACTGCAGCCCATACTTGAGTAATGGTATGGTATTTCTTCACCCTAACATGTGACTAATATGTACTTCTAATCATATTGCCAGGTGGTGGTTTTGGTGGCAAGGAGAGCCAGATTGTCCTCTCAGGCATCCCTGCTGCAGTGGCAGCCAGCAAGTGAGTGCTTGTCGTGACATTTTTGTTGTAATTTTTTATAGATCAGTGGTGGCATAGATTGAACAGCCTTAAAAGTACATGGTTAAGCACTAGCAAGGAAATCAAAATTCGAATTTTGAGAGCATGCATCTTCCCTGTGGCTACATACGGATGTGAGGCGTGGACTATCTCTCAGTCCTTAAGAAATAGAATAGGGGCTTTTGAGCTGAAATGCTATAGAAAGATTCTCAGAATATCTTGGACAAAGAAGAGGAAAAATACTGACATATTGAAAGATCTGAACATCAAGGACGATTGGCTAATAAACAACATCCTATTTCAGAAGCTGAAATATTTTGGTCATATCAAGCGCCACGACGGATTGGAAAAAATTCTAGCAGAAGGCATGGTACCAGGAAGGAGGGGCAGGGGCCGACCAACATGAAGATGGGCACAGGATATAAGTGACTCCTTGAGTATGAAAGTACATGAGGGGGAGAGCTGGCCAGAGACCGTTTCTTTCAGGCAGACCGTGATGAGAGCAACGTTCTGCACAGGACCTGCTACATGATGATGATGCTGGTGGCATAGAAAACAGTACACTGGCTCATCAAGAAGAAGGCAAATAGATAAATACCCGGACAGTTGTTGATGGGGGGGGGGGGGGCAAGACAAGAACATTGACCTAATCGGTGATTGTGTGAGATGGCAAACCAAGACAACCTACACTTGCCAGCATGGCTCATGATGTTCAACATGGTAGTGTAGTTTCTGAGGTTGTTCCTTCTTGATGAAAAACATCCAGGAATCTTTCTATGAAGTTGAAATTAAGCGCAGAGCACAATCTCTGTAGCTCTGGCAATAATTCTCCGTGGCATGTGGGAGCGTTGGGAATTGAACAGGCAGACAGATTGGCTGGTTCTGCACCAATAGGTGGGGAATTTATGTATGACCAGCTAGATGTGTTCGAGGCCCTTTGGGAGCAAGTGAACAGTGCGGAGGCACGAACAGATTATTATGGTCTCTAGAGAATGATATAGCTAGGAGTGACCAGGGAAACTGGTCATTCACTCTACGCTTACAAGTAAGGCAAGACAGACATATACTGAAACTGCTAATGGCACCACTGGAATTGGAACTCTCCTCTGGCTGCTGAAGATGAGGACGGAGCGCTTATGGGAATGTCTGGAATGCTGTGATATCAGCTCTTAGCTCAACACTCAGCAGCTTTTCTATGAGGGGCTAGGCAACATGAAGGGGACTGACAGATAAGCCTTAATATTTTCTGACAAAGCGTATGTGAAAGTGCTGTAGCTGATCATTGTTATGATTTCTGACAAAGCGTATGTGAAAGTGCTGTAGCTGATCATTGTTATGATTTCTTACAAAGCATATGTGAAAGTGCTGTAACTGATCACTGTTATGATTTCTGACTTGACTCTGATTTTCTGACAAAGCATATGTGAAAGTGCTGTAGCTGATCATTGTTATGATTTCTGACTTGACTCTGATTTTCTGACAAAGCATATGTGAAAGTGCTGTAACTGATCATTGTTATGATTTCTGACTTGACTCTGATTTTCTGACAAAGCATATGTGAAAGTGCTGTAGCTGATCATTGTTATGATTTCTGACTTGACTCTGATTTTCTGACAAAGCGTATGTGAAAGTGCTGTAGCTGATCATTGTTATGATTTCTGACTTGACTCTGATTTTCTGACAAAGCGTATGTGAAAGTGCTGTAACTGATCATTGTTATGATTTCTGACTTGACTCTGATTTTCTGACAAAGCATGTGTGAAAGTGCTGTAGCTGATCATTGTTATGATTTCTGACTTGACTCTGATTTTCTGACAAAGCGTATGTGAAAGTGCTGTAGCTGATCATTGTTATGATTTCTGACTTGACTCTGATTTTCTGACAAAGCGTATGTGAAAGTGCTGTAACTGATCATTGTTATGATTTCTGACTTGACTCTGATTTTCTGACAAAGCATATGTGAAAGTGCTGTAACTGATCATTGTTATGATTTCTGACTTGACTCTGATTTTCTGACAAAGCGTATGTGAAAGTGCTGTAGCTGATCATTGTTATGATTTCTGACTTGACTCTGATTTTCTGACAAAGCGTATGTGAAAGTGTTGTAACTGATCATTGTTATGATTTCTGACTTGACTCTGATTTTCTGACAAAGCATATGTGAAAGTGCTGTAGCTGATCATTGTTATGATTTCTGACTTGACTCTGATTTTCTGACAAAGCGTATGTGAAAGTGCTGTAGCTGATCATTGTTATGATTTCTGACTTGACTCTGATTTTCTGACAAAGCATATGTGAAAGTGCTGTAACTGATCATTGTTATGTTTTCTGACTTGACTCTGATTTTCTGACAAAGCATATGTGAAAGTGCTGTAACTGATCATTGTTATGATTTCTGACTTGACTCTGATTTTCTGACAAAGCATATGTGAAAGTGCTGTAACTGATCATTGTTATGATTTCTGACTTGACTCTGATTTTCTGACAAAGCATATGTGAAAGTGCTGTAACTGATCATTGTTATGATTTCTGACTTGACTCTGATTTTCTGACAAAGCATATGTGAAAGTGCTGTAACTGATCATTGTTATGATTTCTGACTTGACTCTGATTTGAGGAAGTTAACTGTGAATGCTGGGAAAGTTTTTAGGTCTGAAACTTGATGTTTTTGATTGGCTGATATGAGTTTTGATCTCTACAGAGGTAGCGTTCACACATGCACACACATCTTGATGTCCAGACTCCCTGTGTGGGTTCCCGGACTCTATTTTAGAAGGAAAACAAGAATAGACCCACTGCCTACCCAAAAAACATGTTGTAAGAGTTGACTAAATGGGAGCTTCATTCGAAGTCAGACTGCATCTACCTGAGATGCAAGGAACCAGCAGTCTGCATACAAATGAGTCAGATCTGTAAAATGGATGCACACGTAACACTGGGGTTTAGGAACAGGACTGCAGTCCAGAAGTGGATGAACAACCAGAAATTTCCGCCAGAGTTTACAGCTGGTGAATGCAAAGAAGAAGAAGAAGAATGTTCAGATCACAACATTACATCTTCTAACTGTAAGAGCATTGGCACTTGTCATTCTTTCAGACTAAGAAGACCTGTCCGCTGTGTGTTAGACCGAGACGTTGACATGATCACTACTGGAAACAGGCATCCATTTCTCGGCAGATACAAAGTAAGTTGTACTTACCTGTCAGTGTTATCTTATGGGATTGTATGTGATATTGCTCTTAAATGTCAGTGTGATCTTATGTGCTGTTATGTGATGTTGTACTTACATGTTGGTGTGATGTTATGTGATGTTGTACTTACATGTTGGTGTGATCTTATGTGACGTTGTACTTACATGTTGGTGTGAGCTTATGTGATGTCATGTGATGTTGTACTTACATGTCAGTGTGATCTTATGTGATGTTATGAGATGTTGTACTTACATGTTGGTGTAAGCTTATGTTATGTTATGTGATGTTGTACTTACATGTTGGTGTGATCTTATGTGATGTTATGAGATGTTATGAGATGTTGTACTTACATGTTGGTGTAAGCTTATGTGATGTTATGTGATGTTGTACTTACATGTCAGTGTGATCTTAAGTGATGTTATGTGATGTTGTACTTACATGTCAAGTGTGATCTTATGTGATGTCATGAGATGTTGTACTTACATGTTGGTGTGATCTTATGTTATGTGATATTTAAAACATATTCCTCCCATTTGGGTTACAAGGTCCCATTGTAAGGGGGAAAAAAAGAAGATCTACTGCCTCCCTAACAAGCTTGTCGTAAGAGTTGACTACTTGGAGGTGTTACCTTCAAATTCATGGTGTGCGTCTGCTTGAGAAGCAAGGAACCATCAGTCTGCATATAAATAAGACAGATTTATAAAACGGATGTGCACACAAACCTCAAGTTTAAAAAAAGTTCACAAGTGGAAGAACAATCAGAACTTTCTGCCGGAGTTCACAGCCGGTGAATTTGAAGAAGAAGAACCAGCATTTCATCATCATTATCATCATCATGTGCCCTACCGATAAGCATACACAGTCAAGTTCTGCTATCCAGATCACAGATCAGGTGATTCCTCGTGCCTCACCCCCTTCTACATGGCCAGGTGGTTAAGGTATTGATCTCCTTGCCTTCCCTTTGCTCTGTTTCCATCAATCTTTACAGTTTTAACCAAGTTTTTGTGTCCATCCACAAGCATCTACACTTTTATTACTAAACATTAAAGAAGCTTTTAGTAAAGTTTTTGTAGACAGAAATCAAAAGCTGTTAGAAGATCCATTGAAGCATTGTCACATATACAAGATTTTAAAAGTTATAAAGAAATCAAATGAAGCATTCAGTCAGGTTTCATAGACAAGTACTAGAACAGAACTCGGCTGAAGTATTAAGTCATTTCATAGACAACAGATACCAGAACAGAACTCGGATGAAGCATTAAGTCATTTTATAGACAACAGTTGCTATAAAAAGTGGATTCACAGAAGCATTAGATGAAGTTTTGAAGACAACCAAAATGAACTGGTGTTACCTTTCCTTTAGAGTTAACAAAACAGGTGGAAAGAGGGATCATACTGCATGGGCAAAACATGCTGTCTACAGTACTGCCTAGGCTTCATTCTGTAGAGTGGAAGTTTTAACCCTGGCCCTAACTATTATCACCATGGATCCAGGTCTCCTTGAGAGGATCCATTGAGAGGAGGTTCTATCCCTGGATCCAGGTCGAGACGGCAGCTGGCTGGCACACAGTTTTGTTACACATTAACTGCAGGATGTCGATTTAGAAGGATTTTATGATACTTGCAAACATCTTCCCTAACTAGGATTATATCTCTTCGCAGACATCTCATTTACATGGCTAATGAACGACTGGATGAAATTAACATCAGATGCAGTAAAGTAAAATAAGTATTGGGACAGCTAGCTCCCCCCTTACAACACAGGACAATCCCAGTCAGCACAGAGAAACATCCCATACAAAGCATATTCATCCCCACCCTGTGCTATCAGTGCCAGACATGGTCATTTGCAACAAACCAGAAAAGAAAATTGGTAACCATAGAAAGACTTAATGAGTAATAAAATCAGAATGAAGTCGTTAGGGAAGATAGTACAGAACCAGTTCTTAATTACTCACAAAGTTGACAAATAAAATGGCTTCCCACTTGGAGCAAATGTTTAATATCTTGTGACACCATACCATACAAGGCATTTACAAACAGAGGAGAGGGATATAGATCAGGAGGTGATTTCGGTCACAGGCATGAGGGGAAGTTAAGTCTGATGTGATGTGTATAAGGAGATATTCCGTACCCCACTCGGGCGCCAGTCCTTCACTGTTCTGGTTTTACGGAACCTCATGCAAGACTCCTGTTGCACGTCCCCGTCGTGCGCCACAGATAATGTCTCAAACGAGCATTAACAGAGTTGGCAGGGGATCTCGGAGCTGGCGGCCCCTAGAGGTGTAGAGTCCTTTCTGGCTCTCACCAGCCCGCCCCCCAAACGCATGGGTGAAAAGTAACAAAACTCAAGGACTGCTTGCTAAATGTACCATCAAATGACAACTCTTGGTTAAAATTCGGGAGCGAATGGAAAACTGTGCTGCTGAGACTCAACCCTGACCGAGAGACTTACCCGCAGCCAAGACGAGTAACATCTCTTGTGGGCGACTTCTCGCAGCAAGATCCCACCTACGTACATCCTCTGTCAATCCTCAGTGTCGTCGTCACCGCGCTGAGGTACACCATGGCAGCAACTATTCATATGCTGGCTTGAAAACAATGTCCGACAAAGTTACACCCCATGGCACACATGCAAGCTCAAAGTCCGACGATCATAACTCGTACCGATTAGGAAAAGTCTGAATGTCCGTATCCACTGGTCCAACTCGCCCGAGTGTTGGGACCAAACAGGTGAAGCCACGTCTGACGCATTTTGCTTCCCCATTCTGTCGTGCTAAGGGCACAGCTGAAACAACGTTAAAGGTGTCTAACGTAAGATGAAAAAGAATGTACCTATTTGTGTGGCCACAAACGTCCTAGACCTGCGGGCTGCTCCCCGCTGATCTCCGGAGAGCGCAGCCTTGTAGCGCGGGAAGCTCAATACACGGTTGTGAGGTTGAGCAGTCATGGGCAGGACGTGACGATTCCTTGGGTGAGCCCAGACCCAGAGCATCATGTGTCGGCTCTGCATTTATGGAAGCCTCCTTGGATGGCGGGGAATGCCCATGATCTGCCCCTGCCTTCCTTTGAGGGCTGAAAACTCTACATAGAGCTGCCTTAAGGACGACATGCCGGGGACCACACTTGTTAAAAGTCAAAGAGGACACCACACAAATAAGGCAACATCTCGACCCACACAAAACAATGGCCACAGTCAACCTAGAAATAGGCTTGACGTCTTCCTCCGAAGTCGGAGTACATCTGCCGGAGAGGCGGGGAACGAGTACTGCAAACAAATAAGCCAGTAAAACGGATGTACACGCAAAACTCAGGTCAAGGTAAAAGCCAAAAGTCCATTTTGGACGAACAACCGTGACTTACCGCCGGAATTCACAGCCGGTGAACAAGAAGAAGAAGAAGAAGGATCCAGGTCTCCTTGAGAGGATCCATTGAGAGGAGGTTTTATCCCTGGATCCAGGTCTCCTTGAGAGGATCCATTGAGAGGAGGTTTTATCCCTGGATCCAGGTCTCCTTGAGAGGATCCATTGAGAGGAGGTTTTATCCCTGGATCCAGGTCTCCTTGAGAGGATCCATTGAAAGGAGGTTCTATCCCTGGATCCAGCTCTCCTTGAGAGGATCCATTGAGAGGAGGTTCTATCCCTGGCCTGAACTATTATCACCATGGATCCAGCTCTCCTTGAGAGGATCCATTGAGAGGAGGTTCTATCCCTGGATCCAGGTCTCCTAGAGAGGATCCATTAAGAGGAGGTTTTATCCCTGGATCCAGGTCTCCTTGAGAGGATCCATTGAGAGGAGGTTCTATCCCTGGATCCAGCTCTCCTTGAGAGGATCCATTGAGAGGAGGTTCTATCCCTGGATCCAGGTCTCCTAGAGAGGATCCATTGAGAGGAGGTTCTATCCCTGGATCCAGGTCTCCTTGAGAGGATCCATTGAGAAGAGGTTCTATCCCTGGATCCAGGTCTCCTTGAGAGGATCAATTGAGAGGAGGTTCTATCACCGTGGACCTGCCTAGAGCGCAGCCGAACCATAGTGCAATGGAACACTCGTATGGAAAGCTGGAAACGTGCTGACAACAGTAATAGGCAATAAATACTATATATACAAACACACTAATGCAGTTAGTATGATTATTATCATCAAGTGCCTTGCCAGCTGGCATAGACGCTCATGCATCTCCACAGATCTCGGTCATTGGTGTTCTGGATCAGTTCTGCTGGTGATATTCCTCCATGCCACTGTCTTAAGCCACCCACCATCATGTCTCTTGGTCTGCCTCTGCCTCTTCTACCACTGATCTTTCCAGTCGTCGCGATATTTTCCAGTGCTTCTTTTACATGAACAAAGAACTTGGTTCATCTCATTCTCATTGTTGTATCTAATGTTCTACTTTCATTAGCCATTTCTAAGCAATCATTGTTTGTTATTTGTCTTTTAAAAACAGTTTATCATCATCAAAATATCAGTCTGTGGCTTAGGTGTTGTGAACCCACTTTGAAATGCAGAGGTGCTGTGTTTGATCCCAGCTGCAGTTGATTTGGCAGCGGACCGCCTTGTGCTAGTTTAAACAGTGGTGTAAAGAGCCGACCAATTCAGTAAGCAATGGCAAACTACTGAATATAAAATTGCCTAGTAAATCACAAATAGCCCCAAATAATATAAATGTGGAGTTGGTTCTGCATTGTCTTGTAAAGGATACCCAACTAATGTTTTTTTTTTTAAAATCATTATCAGGTTGGCTTCACTTCCGAAGGGAAAATACTTGCCCTGGATCTGGAGCTCTACAGCAATGCAGGAAACAGCTTGGATCTGTCCAACGCAGTAAGTCAGTTTGATGGACTTCATACTGTTTCTCTTGTGTGTTCTGTGAATAGATACAGCTGGTTGGGATTTCATACTGTTTCTCTTCTGTGTTCTGTGAATAGATACAGCTGGTTGGGACTTCATACTGTTTCTCTTCTGTGTTCTGTGAATAAATACAGCTGGTTGGGAC